GAATAAAAAGAGGCAGAGGGAAAATCCTGTAGTAAATGAAGCTATGGAGGTATCCGTATTGGGCCAAGTTGCCAAGGATAGTACGCTGAGTACAAGAAAATTAGCCAATGAGACCGGCGTGAATAGTACAAGTGTCCAAAGGATATTAAAAAACACAAGTTCCACCCGTACAAAATTAAGTTGGTATAAGAACTCAACGAAGACGATTTTAATCGTCGCTTGCAATTTTGTGAAATTATGAGTGAACGAATTTAATGTGTGTTTTTCGGACGAGTATACTTTCTTTTTGAACGGTGTAGTTAATCGGCAGTATCGGCACAACTGTCGGTACTGGGCTCAATCCCAGGGTTTTTCACGAGGTGCACACACAAAACCCTCAGAAATTGAACGTGTGGGCTGGTATTTTTGGAAATTCAATTATGGGTCAGTTTAACGATATTGAGAAGAACTTCAACGCCCAAGTCACAGAACAGCTATCTAGCAACTACCGCACCTCATCGTTCAACCTTGTGGCAAGTGAAAAAATGCGTAAACATCTAGAAATAATAAGAAAAAACAGTAAATTGGTCGAAGGAATTTATCCTTATCATTTACTCTGATAAATATTTAAATAAACTTTTCAAATTTCAATCCTTCATATTTTCTCAATGACTCGACCGATTTTCAAAAACGAAGCGGGGAATTATAGAGAATAAAAAACTCTTTTCATTGCGGCACCACTTGACCCCCCTTCCCATTTGAAAAAAGTTGGGAGATGACACCCCCGCTTAGAGGGTTGAAGATTTTGTAATCATTTTTGGGGTAAAAGTTGTCCCCCTCACAAACAAAATTGACGTGTTTTTGGATTTTTTGAAAAAAAAAATACGCTGACCGTTATACCTTGCGGAACGTTTTCGATGGGCCACCCTGTATATAAAATCCTTAAGTGACTGACATACTGATTAATCACGATCCTGCTCAAATCACTCAACGTAAGAAGCTCAGTTTTGGCGTACAGGTTGACTCTAGGGTGTAGAGGTTCGATAAGAAGGGATTTTTCGAAATTCCTGTTCCAAGGGGGTGAAACCACCAAACCAAACCCCTCAAATATTACAATATTTTTTATTTAAAAAACGGTCAAGTTTCCGAAAAAACGCTTAAATACCTATATTTTATTTTGTTTTTTTTACATATTTTAAGATTTTTTAAAAATGTATACAGGGTGTTTCGAAAAATCTGGTCATTGATTAATCACGATCCTGCTTAAAGCGCTTGACGTAAAAAGCTGATTTTTGTAAAACAGATTGAATTTAGGGTGTAGAGGTTCGATAAGAAGGGATTTTTCGAAACTCGAATTCTAAGGGGGTGAAACTATCCCTCAAATATTAAAATATTTTTTATTTAAAAACTGGTGAGTTTTTCGGAAAAACTCTTAAACGCGTATATTTTATTTTGTTGTTTTACATATTTTAAGATTTTTTTATAAATTTATACAGGGTGTTTCATAAAATATGACCATTGAGTAATCACGATTCTGCTTAAACTGCTTGACGTTTAAAGCTGATTTTTGGCAAACGGATTGACTGTGGGGTGTAGAGGTTCGATAAGGAGTTGTTTCTCGAATCTCAAATTCCAAGAGGGTCCAAGAGAAAACGCCCCTCAAATATTACAATATTTGTTATTTAAAAAACGGTTAGTCTTTCTGGAAAACGGTTGGACAAGCATAATTTATTTGGTTTTTTTACATATTTTGAAATTTTTTAAAAAATCATATAGGGTGTTCCAAAAACTTGGGTAATTTCTTAATCACGATTCTGCTTAAACTGCTTGACGAAAAAAGCGTATTTTTGGCAAACGGATTTTTCGAAAGTCAAATTCCAACGAGATGAAACTACTCCTCAAATATTACCAAGCAATATAATAATAACGCCATATTGTTTTTTATGTATGCTGACATAAATGTGAGAAAATTTGATCCAGTTTGTATTCTAATGGAAATTCTTGCTTTGCTTTATCATCACCATTACAAATGATTAATTCGACACGAACGAAGTCGCTGGTACACGCTAGTTTTACTTATATTTTTATTAAGGTTAGATTAAATTTGTCAAAAAGTGTCAAAACGTCCGTTATCGTATGAACGGGTCCGTTGACGGGCTGAAGTAAAATATTTACGGATGAAAAGTGGCGCGAAAACGCTGTGACCAATCAGAGCACCGTCGGACCATCGCACACTGTTGCGCTCAATGGACATAATTCAAAAATGCATGTATTTATTTTTGGGTTTGTAAATACACCTATCTTTAGAGGAATGTCTGCTGATAATAAAAATAGAATGTTCTTTTTTTATTGTTTACGAATTCCAAAGAAACAGAGATAAAGAAAACGAAAAATAATTTTGTGCGTTAATTGAAAGATTAGTGTAAAATTTATTCTATAAGAGGCACTTTGTCATTTTAAGTTTTTTATTATTTTTAACATTAAGGAGACTATGGATATTAATTTAGAAGGTAAGCAGTCAGTTACGTTATTTGCCTTTAGTATTTATTTAATTAAAAAAAAAAAATTTCAACTTTGACTTAGAATTACAAAAAAATATATCAATATAGTCCGAAGAAATTTTGAAAATAAAATCTTTAAACAATTTAGTTTAAAATGATAACAATCATTTTTTGCGGAGATTTGCGGAATTTGCTATTTTTCTATTTTTAGAACAATCCTCTGCTATTCCCAACAGCATGTTATACGAAAAATGGGTAACTTGTAATATATAATATATATATATATATATATATATATATATATATATATATATATATATATATATATATATATATATATATATATATATATATATATATATATATATATATAGTAATATAAAATATAACTTGTAAAATAATAACTCAGTTTATAATCATCTGCTGATGATGCTAACATGGTTAGCGAAACGCGCGTCCAGTGTAAAAGTAAAAGTGTTTTGGTGTATTGTGGTGATTTAGTGTTTTTATTTTGCTGTGTAACACCAAAGGTTCCAACCCTCAACTGTAATATATGTAGAATTAAAATAATATACATCATGTTTTGCGCATTTTTGCGATTTTTGTTAATTTTCTATTTTTAAAGAAATCCTCTGCTATTTTCAATTTAGGATTTTATACCAAAAATGCCAAATATTTATTTTTAAATTTATAATATATTTTTTTAAGTTTCTAGCACATTTTCAAAAATACGTCAAATGTATTAAAACCATAGCAAATTCTTTAACCCTCTAAGTGGGGGTATCATCCCCCAATTTATTTCCAATGGAAATAGGGGTCAAGTAATATTTTATTAAGAGGACTTTAATTTATCTATATAATGCTGGTTATTTTTTCAAAATTAATCAACCCCTTAGGAAAATAGTGGGGCTTGACATTGGGGGATGATACCCCCACTTGAATGTTGATGGATTTTACCCTAAAATAACGTATTTTTAAATTTTTTTTAAAAAACCTTCCAAATTTCTTGATATAATTTATTTTGCATTTTTTTCCTTATTATTGATATTTCAAACCTCCATATTTTCAATAGGGGCTTATCGATTTTGGAGAACTATACACCAATATTTAGGTAAATAAAAGACCTTTTCAATAAGGTATAAATTGGCCCCTCTTTCCATGTGAAAAATTTTGGGGGATGACACCCTCGCATAGGGGATGACAATTTTGCAATCATTTTTGGAGCAAAAGTTGGCTCTCTTATAAACAAAATAAATAAAAATAGTCGCAATAATTAATATTAGTTTGTTTTCAAAATATGAATTTTGACCCAATTCCCCTATAAGGTGCAACACTGTGCATCGTATCAACGTATAACGGATGCATGAAAATCAGGCTTAACCCTCGTATTATAATTTAATATTCCAACTAAAAAAAAACTTTTTAGACGAGTTCAGTTACGGTAGCGAGCATAGTTTTATGCGCCGGTTTTGCTAGTAGGGTTATAAGAGGGGCTCTTTCGGCTATGACGAAATTTTTTAATTAATTATAATTTTAGTTGTTCATAAAATATTTAAACACTAGTTGATTAAAAAAAGTATACCATTAATATTGCCAAATTATATTTTATTCTTTCATATTTAATTTTTTGATTATGTAATGAGCACTTTGTTTACTCATTTGTTTTGTCGAACTGCTTGAATCCATTTTTGCTTTTAATTAAATCGGTGTGAGAAACTGTGAAGCTAGAAAATGTTGTTTCGGGAGAGTTGAATATCCGTGTTTCGGGAGAGTTGAATATCCGTTGTGTTATTGAATGTTATTGCACCCATTAACGCCCTAATTACTCTCTCCTTTACGAGTTAACATTTTTTCGGCAGTTTTATTAACATTTTAAATTGTCACAATACAACACGACGGCGACGCCTAGTTCGGATTCTTTTTCACTTTTCCTTTATTGCCCGAAACAGTGTTACATCACGCAAACCTCGTACCTGAGTATTTTATAGTTTCAATAACTACACTAGCCAAGAACTAAAATACTTAAATATTATGACAAAGGCACGATTTCAATATTATTTTAATGAGATCAGCATAAACTGTAACCGGGATGGCGTGAAATACATAGCGAAAATTTCTGATTTCTGTCGTATAGAGCGCTGCGGTCGGAATTGTTTGAAATCAACTGAAATGCACCAAGCCTATAGTCATTAACGGAAACAATGCTTTTAAAAGAGCTTAACTAATTTGAAAAAAAATACTTTCACATACTATTTTTTATAGGTAAAAGAACTATGGTAGTTTTTTACATTGCCCCTTTTTACACGTTTATCTCTGATATTCTTAACCATAATCGTAAAGAAATATGACGTGGACTGCGCATTAACTAATCAAAATTTCAAAAATATAATAAACTCACTTAAAATTTGGTCCACGCTAGAATCGCCCACGTTGCTGCTGTATAATTGGTCGATTCTATGGAATTTAGTTAGTTAATGTAGATATTGTATAGTAGTTCGTTTCTACCATCTTCTTTTTTAGGTGGTGGAACGTGGCGCGAAACATTTTAAAAGGCCTCAAGTTGAGATGATGGCTAAAAGATGGCAGCATCACTGTGTGGAAGTGCGGGAAGCGGCACAAACCTTACTATTAGCCGAATTGTCAAGGTTATTCAGCGCATAAGATATTCTTGACTATTTCTCATTATTTTTATTATAGAATGGGACCTAAAGGAAGAAAACAGCTAGTAGATGCATGGGCAAACTACCTCCCTTACTATACACAAACAGAAACGATCAACCAGCAGGCAAATTCACCGCCATCGTCACAGAATCACGTCAATTCTCACAATAATGTTCCGAGTACGCCGGATCCAGTGGTAAATTTTATAAATTTTGCTAATTTTTTTGTACAGTATTTAACATATTTTTTGCTTAGGATGAAGAATTTGAGGAGGAGGAAGAAGAACAGATACGCAAGCCTTCTAGTCTGGTTGAATTAAAGAGAAAACAGACTACAGCAGTGATATTGTTAGGTGTTATTGGTGCGGAATTTGGTCAAGACATTACCAGTACAGACACAACTAAAAGAAAAACCGAAGATAGAAGAAAGAGTTCAGTGGTAGAAGGATTTGGTATGTCTGTTTATATTTTTTTTGATATAATTTTTTATTATTTTTTTTTGATATAATTTTGACATAAGGATTTTAGCTAAACAGTAACACATAAGCCTGTCTCTGCCATAAGTTACAGAATTACCTAACGATAGCGATACGGGCGATTTTTTCTTGTATGGGCTAAAATTTAAATGCTTTGTTTTGTCATATTTTTAGGCTATAATAGGCCATACACTTATAAAAGAATATATTGAGTGTATTGCATGAATTATTGTCCCGAAATAATGAAGGATAAATATCTCCATAAGTCTACCTTTGTGTTTATTGTAGTTGTGTAGTGTATTTTGTTGTTAACTTGGTTGTTCCAAGTTATATATTTGGTAGATTCAGATCAAAAGTTTTTAAAATAAAATACAAACTTGTCAAGTAATTAATATATTACAAATATTAATCAAAACACAAATGTACACATACTACACAATCGAAAACAGTAATAGAGCCCACCAACGCAGCTGCGAAGCGAATCATCATGTGTGTTAGTGCTTATTTTTTTTTACTTATTTTTTATCATTGTCATTACTTTTTCTCCTAAAACACCTGTTTCTCTCATATAAGGTCCCTTGATAGATATTATAGAGTACCACAATTGATTTGTCCACTACTTTGAAGTAATAGCCACATGTCTTCTCCTTATGTCACAGTGGCTGTGGTAATAACTAAATTTGACATTTAGGCTATACTTTAACTAAGTAGACTTAAACTAGACTAACTTTAACTAAACTAACTAACTTTAAATTTTAAATATTTTTTTCTCAAAAACCGTTAATGTTAGGTATAGAGTCTTTGATATCAAAATTCATAAAAATTTACTGAGAATTTAAGTATGTAATAAAAAAGGGGGTACCCAATTAATATAAGAAAGTTGTTGTCAACTTCCGGTATTTCCGGAAGTGCCGCCATATTGAAACTGTTGTTAATCAATAGATCTCATTGTGAAACAATGATGTGCAAATAAATCTTTGATCTAGATCTTGTAGTTCTCTAGAAACTTCTAATGCACGCTCAATACACCCTGTATACCCAATGGGTAAATACAGAGTACATTGAATTTAGGTAAATATATACCCGGTATACAGGGTGCTACAAATTCGAGGTACCAGCATTTGTATCTTGGTAACCGTAATAGATACGAACATGGTTAAATTGGGGCAAAGTTGCGTATTGGGATCTTCACTAAGATGCCATCAAAAAAGATTCAAAAATTTCAAGGATTGCGGTTTTTTTTTGGAAAAAACTTTTTTTTTTGAAAATTATAAAATTAATTTTTCCTGTCGTTATGTTATAGAAAATCAAAAAACTAATTGCACATTCTCATAGCCACTTTATCAGGGCTATCTGATAGTATTTTTAGATTTTCAAATTAGCTGACAATTTGTGAGATACAGAGACCAACTTAATTTATTTAAATACGGACCTGCATTTTTTATTTCAGGTTTTGAAAAAACTCGCTCTCCTCAATACAATGATATGCCACACTTTATACTTTTTTTTGTTTTGGATACCTTAACAGCAACAAAACTATTTAATTATTATTTAAAATAATTTCAAGCCCGACTCTGGTTTCTTAAATTATTAAATCTGATTATATTCATCGCAACAATATTGATCAGCGCTAATTAACACTGAATAATGAAAACTGAGCCAATTGGAAGATTCACATAAATAATATCCATCCAGAAATGTAAAGATATTATTTCTAATTTTTTTATTGTCAATTTGAAATCTCAGTGTGCGATCTAATAATATACATAATATTAATAATATACATAATATTAATCGTAAAATAAATAAATCAACTTCTACAAACTAGTTTCTAATGTTCTACATGTTCGAAAGGGTTACTACCCTCCCTATTGCACAAATTTATTTTTCGCTCAATTATATTTATAGCTCTTTAAACTTTTTTTTTATACTTCCGAATGCATTTTGTACTCTTTATTGTAAATGTTGAGATGAATTGATTTCACTTTTACAAATTACGTCAAATAATGTAGCCCCTTGGCGATAGGTTCAGGAACCTCGTTGGACATTATACTGCATACTGCTCTACCATTTTCAATACAACTTCCGGGAAAATGATTTGATTATTTATATTATAATATTATATTTATATATTAATTATTTTATATTATTTTATGGCATTTGATTTTCCGTATTCAATGTTTTACCCCACGTCATTGTTAAGTTTGAAAGCTTATCAATATTGTAACGATTAATAGATTAAATATTAAAAAAACAGAGCCGGACTTTAGTAGGAAAAAGCCGGAAATTAGTTTAAATAAATTGTGTTCAAATGTCAAAACAAAAAAAAATATTAAGTGTGGCATATCATTGTACTCAGGAGACCGAGTTCTTTAAATCTGAAATAAAAAATTCAGGTCCGTATTTAAAAAAATTAAGTTCGCCTCTGTATCTCAAAAATTATCAGCTAATTTGAAAATCTAAAAATACTAACAGATAGCCCTAATAATGTGGCTATGAGAATGTGCAATTAGTTTTTTGATTTTCCAAAAAGTAACGACAGGAAAAAATAAATTTGATTTTAAAAAAAATCAGTTTTTCCCAAAAAACTCAGCAATCCTTGAAATTTTTAAAACTTTTTTGATGTCATCTTGGTGAACATCCCAAAGCGCAACTTTGCCCCAATTTAACCATGTCCGTATCTATTACGGTTACCGAGATATCAATGCTCGTACCTCGAATTTGTAGCACCCTGTATACACAAGTATGTTTATTTTGTTAATTTAAATTACTATTATAAATTTTAACAATTTGTTGTTATCTTACCCCACAAAGACTGCACAATAGCAAGATAGCCTTAAGCTTATCGAAAATACAGCACATCGCAGACAGTTCAATTTAGGTTAGGTGAATAATCGAATTTTACAAGGGGGTTCCCCGACGAAATATTCTCTTCTACACCCTCTGCGTATATAACAGGTATATACCCAAATTTCTTTATTATACCCATTGGGGACTTACCCACCGCTCATCACTGTTTATGAGACACCTACACAGAATTTTGAGTGTATTTCGTATTGTTTTAGGGTCAGGAAATAATAATTTGGCCAGATTAACAGCTATGGCGTTGTCACATCTGTTATTGGCACCCCCTTCGCCACGTTTACCCGCTCACATTCCCTTGAGAAGGGCCGCCATTGACCTTATAGGGCGGGGATTCACCGTTTGGGCACCCTTCCTGGATATAAGCAAAGTTTTATTAGGTAAGTATCAAAGTGAAGTCTTCGAAATTATTTAGAAAGTATAGTAGAATTTTGTTGGTAATTAAGGTATTACATATTATAATTTATTGTTTAAGGTCTCTTGGAATTGTGCTCCGAAGCTGACAAATTAGTGCCCAGTATGACGTATGGCCTTCCTTTAACACCTCAAGCCGATTCCTGTCGCACTGCTAGGCATGCACTGACATTAATAGCGACAGCAAGGTTTGTATTCTTTTTTTTATTTGAAGTAATTACTAATTATACAGAAGTAAGTAAAACGCTTCTTCTTTTTACTTAAGAATTTACGATCTTTTGCAATGGCTATAAAAATCCTAGATAAAAATACAATTAAAATTAATAAAATATAGCTAGCAACAGCATACGGTAGTCAGTTGTATCCATAGAGAAAGCCTAATAATTAGCTTATACAGCAATTAACTTTTTAGTTCTGACCACACTTTCTCTTGACGGATGATAATCAAAAGCCCAAAATTCCTATAAGAAAAAACTTAAATTTTTTAACTTCAACAAAATAAAAATTTTAACTTCTACAGAATGGCTCAAAAAGTGTGAGTGGATCGAGATGTTTTTTTTTTTAATGAAACACTGTATATTTTTGCATTTTTGGCTTCCTTTCTGATCACTTTACATAATCCTAAGATATTATTGAATATGTTTGATAGTTTCAGAAATATTAATAAAATCCTTTTTAATATCCGTTTATATATTCTTAAAGTTGGTCAACCTCTGGACAAAATATGCTGTCAGCTGGTGAACAAATCGTGAAGCTTTAAAGGAATGAAACATGTGATTAGGGGTGGAGTCAAAAATATCGATTATTTGCCGTATTTCCCTCAGAGTAATCTATATTAGCTCGGATTTTTGCGAACTGTAATAGGGCTCAGCTGATTAAGAAATTTAAACAAAACTATTATTTCATTGTTGATTTTAGATTATTTTTGCAGTTATTTTAAGGATTCTAAACCGTACTAACAAAGAAATTATTATTTCAATATGTTGGTGCATAATGCTAATTACTGGTAATTATTAATATTTAAAAAGAGTTACATACACTTATTATTTTATTTCGATTTGACACAGGGCTATTAAAGAACCATTTCATTCTTAGATTATTTTATTCTAAATTGAGGCTTTACGAATTTTACGATAAGACTTTTTTTGAAATCAAAACTTTTACATTCTTGATTAAATTTTTTCTTAATTAAAAATAAAACTTGGCACTTGCTTCAATAATATTATTTGACATTTAAATAAATATTATGTACTTAATACACCATTTAAATCTTTATTACACGAAGTAAATCTTTCTTAGTGTAAAACATGATCAGAGTCAAGTTTGCTTTAACTTTGTACCATATGAAAAAAACGGCGTCCACTTGGCTGGGAAATGACGATCGACGACATTTCCCATATAAAATGACAGCGATCTTCATTTCATAGCCATCGCTGACGCCGTTTATTTTCGATCAAGAATTCTAGAAACTGAAAATATTATATTTTAACTCACAAAGCCCGTTAAACCATAAGAGTGCCATCTTAGAAAAAGCGGAACGGCGCGGCGTATCGACCTTGAATAGATTTCTAGTAATTCTATTGGCTGAAATTTTTGACAGATGAATTTTTCAGCCAATAGAATTGCTGAAAATCGATTCAAGGTCATTACGCTGATACGCCGCGCCGCGCTGCGCCGTTCCGCTTTTCTAGGATGATGTGGATGCACCCTAAAACTTTCTGGTATATTATTTTATTAGGAGTAAAAATGACACTTTTCGTGGCGAGAATGTACGTTTGACATACAGCCGAAGCACAAAAAGTAATTTTTACTCCGAATAGAACATGCTATTTTTTTTTCAAACGCCACAAATAATTTTTTAAACAATTTTAAACGTTCCAAATAATATAAAAATATTTAAGTCATACCTTGTAAGTAATTATATATCGAGAAACTATGGTTACGGCTCGTTAAATTTGAGACTTATGTCATTTTAGTAATATATTTTCATACCCAGTGCCGGATACAGAGGGGACCCCATGGGGCCCGGGCCTCCCCTAAAATCTGTAAATTTGGTTAAATATTAGCCTTTTGAGTTAAAAATGGCGCCCTAAAAAGCATATTCTACGTGACTTTTTTTGGGCCCCCCCTAAAATAAATTCCTGTATCCGCCCCTGTTCATACTTTTATGCTTAGGCGTAAAAGTGCTTTACTTTTATGCCTAGGCGTAACTGGTATATTTTTCTGCTACCACAAAGTTATTATACAGTGATAAATGATAAGATCATATTGAAATACGCTACTGGGTAAAAACATTGGCTAAACTTTATCAATAATATACTCAGTTTCAAAAGTTATTTTCCAAAATAATTCATATTTTTTAATTTGGTTAATAAGACTACATTAATTTAATTTAAAATAAATTTAATCAGATTTTTTTTCTTATATTCAACTACAAGAAAACCAAAATTATATTATAACGCACTTTTAAACGAACTTGAAGGAAGATTATAATGTATCTATCACAATACTTAATAGAACTACTACAATTCGAAGAAAAACAAAAAGAAAAAAATACCCAAATACCTTTACCTACTATTCAACAACAAAATAAATGAATATAACCTCTTACAAGAACACTACACAACTACTTAAGTTACTCTCTTAGTTTTACTCTACACTAAACAAATTATCAAACTTATTAATTAATCAAACATAAAGAAAAAATAGTCAAATTACCCCTTCACCTACTACTTAACTTCAAAATAAAAACACTACTAAACTACTTCAGTCTACACTAAACGTTATAATCAAACTTAATAAATTAATCTAATTTTACACTACAACTACAAAGAAACAAGAAAATGTTTTAAAACTAGAAGAAACAAAACTTCGATACGTGCGACCAGTATAATAGATCAAGCGGACAAAGAATATAAAATACTTTAAAATGTGTATTCAGAAAGAAAAAATATCTCGAAAATTATCCGAACAAACATTTTTTTTCTTATTAGTGAGAAACATCGGCCTCGTCGGCCTTGCGAAATTTGTCGTGTATTTACAATAATGGTCAAATTGTATAATTACCAGCTTTTATAGCATATCTAATAGACAAAAAGTAACTGGTCGATTAGTAACCAGTTGGCACAATCCGAAAATTATCAATTTTTATTTTCTCTGTTTTTATTGGTCGCTTCAAAATTCAGAGTAACAAAAAATATTTTTGTGTAGTAAAAGACTGTGAAATACGCCCACCATCTGGTGCTTTACATCCATAAATGTCTTAGGTTGAGCTACTTTAAAAATTCATATACAAGGATAAAATATAAATAAATAAAAAAATGTTTTTTTTTTGAAAAAAATATTAAAAATACAAGAAATGACCTGCAATCAAAACTATACTAGGTATTTACTATAGTTGGTCTGTACTTAATTTGCTATAAATATCGTAATCTTAAACCACACAAGGTGTTAAAAATTCTATGCCAAACATTCTAAAATATAAAAGTTTTTCTTGTTTTTTTTTAATAGAACACCCTGTATATTATTCCATTGTTAGATGGAGAATTAAAAGATGAACAATTTTAACAAGCCTCTTAGGATCTTAGGTTTTACTTTACGAAAAAGCTTTGTTTGGACTTTCAGACCTTATGTTTTTCATCAAAATAAGATAATATGCCGCGCTATGGAACTTAGAAAGTGGATAATAATAATTGTCCACCCTGTATATTATTCCATTGTTAGATGGAGAATTAAAAGATGAACAATTTTAACAAGCCTCTTAGGATCTTAGGTTTTACTTTACGAAAAAGCTTTGTTTGGACTTTCAGACCTTATGTTTTTCATCAAAATAAGATAATATGCCGCGCTATGGAACTTGGAAAGTGGATAATAATAATTGTCCACCCTGTATATTATTCCATTGTTAGATGGAGAATTAAAAGATGAACAATTTTAACAAGCCTCTTAGGATCTTAGGTTTTACTTTACGAAAAAGCTTTGTTTGGACTTTCAGACCTTATGTTTTTCATCAAAATAAGATAATATGCCGCGCTATAGAACTTAGAAAGTGGATAATAATAATTGTCCACCCTGTATATTATTCCATTGTTAGATGGAGAATTAAAAGATGAACAATTTTAACAAGCCTCTTAGGATCTTAGGTTTTACTTTACGAAAAAGCTTTGTTTGGACTTTCAGACCTTATGTTTTTCATCAAAATAAGATAATATGCCGCGCTATGGAACTTAGAAGGTGGATAATAATAATTGTCCACCCTGTATATTATTCCATTGTTAGATGGAGAATTAAAAGATGAACAATTTTAACAAGCCTCTTAGGATCTTAGGTTTTACTTTACGAAAAAGCTTTGTTTGGACTTTCAGACCTTATGTTTTTCATCAAAATAAGATAATATGCCGCGCTATGGAACTTAGAAGGTGGATAATAATAATTGTCCACCCTGTATATTATTCCATTGTTAGATTGTTATTACATTGTTAGATGGAGAATTAAAAGATGAACAATTTTAACAAGCCTCTTAAGATCTTAGGTTTTACTTTACGAAAAAGCTTTGTTTGGACTTTCAGACCTTATGTTTTTCATCAAAATAAGATAATATGCCGCGCTATGGAACTTAGAAGGTGGATAATAATAATTGTCCACCCTGTATATTATTCCATTGTTAGATGGAGAATTAAAAGATGAACAATTTTAACAAGCCTCTTAGGATCTTAGGTTTTACTTTACGAAAAAGCTTTGTTTGGACTTTCAGACCTTATGTTTTTCATCAAAATAAGATAATATGCCGCGCTATGGAACTTAGAAAGCGGATAATAATAATTGTCTTCTATATAGTCTGTGGTCAAACGAAACTGTGTAATTAAACACACAATGTGTTTACATTTTTCTTGTGAAAGTTTAATGTAATAAATAAGCTTATATGTTGGGTCATAATAATAAAGCTTATATGTTGGGTCAAAACAGATCAATGTATCTATATGGTTTGAATATCTTTTAGAGAGGTTTGTGGTCTTATCTTTGTTAAGATGGACCTTAAGGCATTGTAGATTTGCATACAGTGCTTATGTTACACCGTCTCCTGTTGTTTAATAATATATTTTCAGTATAACTCTCAAGATATTTTTTTAGACCTGCAGCTTTCATAACAACAATGGCCAAAGAGGTGGCTAGGTACAACGCCATGCAACAGAACGCTCAAACGTTGAACATTAACATGAACAACAACGTTTTGCACAAAGCGAAACCTGAAATACTTAGAGGCGTGGAGTTGCTCATAGAGAAAATGCAGACGGAAATGAGCACTCTTCTAGTTGAGGTAAAAAGAGATAGCTTTCAGCATCATTGTGACGTCTTTGAACATGCAACCAGCAATATGCTAAGTCCTATTATTGTATTTTTCCGTTCTCTACCTTAAGTCAGCTATGCTTAAGAGTCTATTACGTTGTACTGTTGGGTCGCTCTCAGGGGTTGGGTAAAGCGGGTGTGCGGCCGAAGGAAATATATATTATATTTTAGAAATCTGCCTAAGGCTTAGCCCGATCCTGTCGTGTTAAGCTACACCCAAAATTCCAAACACTCGTGCTTTGATTATGGCTTGATTAAGGTTTACAGAGCTTCAGCATTTGCCATGAAATAGCGAGCAATCAATTTAGTCCAAACATAAGGTATATTTTGTTGATGTTTGACCACCAAATCTTAAAGAAGTCATCTAAAAATGTGCTACAGTACCGACATAGTATAATCCTTTATCTTTAATTTCCTTCTTCATTTGTGTAAAAATACCTAGCCAGTTAAAACTTTAAAAATAAAACGTTAAATGCCGAACGCTTATTTTGAAATGGACTCTTAAGGTTCAAAGTAAATAAGCAAGTAGAGGTAAAATCATGGAATAGGATCGATGGAATGCTGGTTGCATATATAGTAGGCAGTAATCTCTAATGAGGCCTTTTAAAACATTTATTTAACGCTGTCATTCTTGATAATGATTATTCCTTAGCTAGTGGACATTATCCTCCATTGTTTGGATCCAAGTCAACTAAAAAACAAGAGCTTGCAAAATGTTTTTCCTGCTATCTGCAAATTTAACCAAGTATCTCATTGTCCAACGACCAGAAGAATAGCAGGTTGCATTATTATTATTTAAATAAATATTTTAAAGTCTACATAATGTTTTTTTAGTGGGTTCACATTTGGGATCGTTAACCATTCACGAGCTAAGACAAAACAGATGTACAGTGATCCACGCCCATTCTGAAGCTGTTACAGCATGTGCTTTCAGCCCCGACGGTAAATTTTTGGTTAGTTATGCTTGTGGAGAGAACAAACTGAGTTTTTGGCAAACCAGTACTGGTAAGATATTTTTTTCAGAATAGACTATTCAATAAAACACTCCACTTTTTTTAACTAAGGTATGTTTGGTTTGGGCCAATCACAAACAAAGAACGTCAAATCCTACAGTACGGCGCCCATTGCCGATGTTGCCAGACTTAATCCTATGCGATTAGCTCGACTGATCTGGATCAATAACAGGACAGTAACCCTAATGCTTGCTGATGGTTCAGAAACAAGATTTAACGTTTAATGGTAAGTTATCGTCTGACATCGAAAATTTTATATTTTTCTTGAGATTTTTTGAGAAATTTTCAAGAACTTTTAAGTACTGCGGGTTTGTTTTCCCTAATTATTTATCGACAATGTATTGATGCACTGCGACCCATATACCAATACCAATATTCTGCATATTTGTATAAGTTTCCAGTAATTTTAATTTTCCGCATAAAAAATTATCTAAATTACTTTTTAATCATTCTAGAGGGCACTGTTATAAAAAATATATAAATTGTAAAATTAGTAATTTTTTAATGGCCATAATGCGTTCTTTCAAAATCACTGAACGACTAAATCATATCCATAGATGCAGTGACGTACCGTGACTTTGAATTTTGAGACCAAAAACTGACAAATAATGTGTCAAAAAAATCATATTACAGCTATATGTTTTATTTTGCATAAAAATGTTAACTAATAAGTTAGAGTAATTATATTTTTTCCCTAACTAAGTGGTTTTATCGCTAAATTTAACTAAAGCTAAGTACAACACAAATCTTAAATGCGTGGACTATTATAACAACAACTACATCGTAAAAGATTATTTTGGTAGCATTCTGAACGAGGATTCAAGTTAAACTTTTTAGAAAATAATTTAAAGGAAAAATGAACCTGCTCGCAGATGGTTGTTCCGAGTAAAATCCTAGAGCTCTATGATTTGCTTTTATAAACTCTGGCACATGATGCAGAATTGCATGAATCTTTGGAGTTATTTTAATACCTAAGTTGAGTATTTCCAATATAAATTGTTCGATGTCATGTTCAAAATGTTTATTTAGTGCTTGACCAAAACAACTCGAAACTACTTGATTGAATGCAGAAAACACTGCTATATATTTATTTCCTAAAAAAAAGATGTTTAGGTTTTTGCTTCTAAAAACTTTGAATAGGATTCTTTACCGGGCGATATCGTCTTCAAAATATCCACTTTCTTTAAAAGTTGTCTGGCGTTATTTCCGTTACATTTTCGATAACGATCTAGTTTCAATCCCGCTTTTTTTTATCCATTCTGTTGCAACATTGGTATTCTCCAATCAAAACAATCAAATAGTTTTTGAACCACACCTAACAAAAGGCAAAGCTCAGAAGGGGGAATATACATTAAGACAGGTGTTTCTTCGTCGCCAATGATTAAAGGTATGTTTATACAGTTTCCTAAAAAATAATTGCCCTTTTTTATATCGTTCATTGAACAACGGTTTAAAAAATACAAAAAAATTATTTCAAACAAAAGCGCTTACTAAAATCTTTGGTTTTTGTTATATTTCCTCCATACATTTATATTTTCTCCGCCATACATTTATATTTTCTGTAATACTTTTTATAGTTCTGAATGATCCTTTAATTTCCATGTCTTTTACGATGTATTTGTTATTATAATAGTCCACGTATTTAAGATTTGTGTTGTATTTAGCTTTAGTTAAATTTAACGATAAAACCACTTAGTTAGGGAAGAATTATAATTATTCTAACTTATTAGTTAACATTTTTATGCAAAATAAAACATATAGCTGTAATATGATTTTTTTGACAAATTATTGTTTCAGTTTTTGGTCTCAAAATTCAAAGTCACGGTACGTCACTGGATCTATGGAAATGATTTAGTTGTTCCATGATTTTGAAAGAACGCATTATGGCCATTAAAAAATTACTAATTTTACAATTTATATATTTTTTATTTTGAATCATATAAAAACCGAACAGTGAGGGCGTCACTACTAATATATACTGTATACTCTCTGTTTCTTAAATAAGTGCAAATATTTCAATTGGTGGTATATTTCGTCCCCAGAAACACGTCCTTGAGTTTTTTGTTGTAAAAAAATTGTTTAAAATTTTACGTTTTTATTATATCCTATGGGAGATTTTAAATTAAAAAAAATGGTGGCAGTAGGTTCATTCTCCTGAAATTTCTTGATGGAGTATCGAAGCTTTTCAATGTTAGCACTTTCTAAGTGATGCACATTCGGGGATGCATTTGGGTATTTATAAGTTCATAGTAATTTTAACTTTCTATGCAATAAATTGCAAAAAAAAATTTAGTGATTAAACTAATAATTCTAGAAAAAAGCGCTGTCCTTATTTTTAAACACATACTAATACATACAGGGTGTCCCAGAAATAAGTGCAAATATTTTAACTGGTAGTATAGTTCAACCCCAGAAACACGCCTATGAGGTTTTTTTGTGAAAAAAAATGTTGAAAATTTAAAATTTCTCTTGACATTTTCCGGGAAATTTGAAAAAACTTTTTAGTGCCACTTGTTTATTCACCTGCGATTTCCCTACGGTGTATCTAAACCTTGCAGTGTTGCAACCTCCTATGTTATCCACATTCTACCTAATTCGGCGGAACATTGTTCTACATTTATAAATTCATAGACAAATTTCTACTCAAAAATTAGGAATGTTAAATTTAATCTTTTATCAGTGCTCATTATTAATAATTATAGAAAAAAAAACACATTAATTATTTTTAGTACTTACCCTTGCAATGAAAACTTAACAAAAACCACCGAAAATTAACTAAAACATTACGTTTATGACGTTTACGAAAATCTTTGTTATGCTGCAAAATAACTTTATTTTGGAATAAATTTAATAAAATGATTCATATTATTCACAATCAGGTCACAAAAAAGAAATTCTAAAATGTTTATCGTAATTTAGAATTCAATTCAAGAAATTTAGAAAACAGCCCAACGAATAATCGATTCATTTTTGTTTTGTTTGTTTTCTTTCATGTTTCTCTGTTTTATTTGAACCACTGTTTTATAAAACACCTTGAAAAGCGTACATTACTTTGAATACCTTTCTGAATGAATAAATGTTGAGAATTATTGTCTCTTATCGCCACTTTACGAACTACTTTCAATCTAAGAAAATACATGTTTGACTCAACAATTATTGACAACGTATTTTGTTTTTTCGCCATTTTTTCGATTTATTTCGACAATTCCATCGACAGCCTAACCGGTCGTTCTTCTCTGGCCTAACCGTCAGCCAAGAACCGCCGCGTGTGAACTGGTCCTTTGAGTCGCCGGTCGCCGCGCCGTCGTGGCGGGCTTGCGTCAGACGACGATGTTAAGCAACGTTGCCGTAGTTACAACAATTTCAAATTCAAGACATTCGAAGCAATCAAATTCGTATTAAATGTTAAAAATAAAACAGAGAAACATGAAAGGAAATAAACAAAACAAAAATGAATTGATTATTCGTCGGGCTGTTTTCGATGTATTGAATTCTGAATTACGATAAACATTTTAGAAATTTCTTTTTGTGACCTTATCAATAACCAATTCATTTGTGTTTTGTTTGTTTCCTTTCATGTTTTTCTGTTTTATTTTTAAAATTTAATAAGAATTTGATTGCTTCGAGTGTCTTGAATTTGAAATTGTTGAAACTACGGCAACCTCGCATGATGCAAGCTCGACACGGCGGCGCGACAAAGGAGCAGTTACCAGTGATGCGCCGCTCTCTTGGCCGACGGCCGACGCGACGATTGGGCGCCGTCGATGGAATTGTTGAAATACATAGAAAAAATAGCGAAAAAACAAAATACGTATTTAAAATTGTTGAGTGAAACATGTATTTTCTTAGATTGAAAGTAGTTCGGAAGTGACAATAGTGGCGGTAAGAGACAATAATTCTCAACATTTATTCATTCAGAAAGGTATTCAAAGTAATGTGTGCTTTTCAAGGTGTTTTGTAAATGAGTGATTCAAATTGTGATGAGGCCTATATGAAAATAATGTGTTAAAAATGGGGACTGTTATTTTAGTAGTTATTATAATAGCATGTACAAGTAAAGCAGCACAGTGAAGTGTATTTTAGTTAAGTGTATATCGAAAAAGAGAACTGTCACAGTTACATCGATCTGTCATAAGTATCTTTTTTAATGTTGGCTTAAGTTTTTTAATTTAACTTTTTTAACACATTATTAAAACATTTAACTTTTAATTTATTTTATGTAATAATATCACAATCTTAAAAATGTAATGCATCTCTGCAAACTCCTCAGGTGTTGTGATTTTATGACTTATTTTTAACATATACTTTCTTGTCCCTATGGCAACACAGTGCGTCGAATTAACTGAAATCCGGGCGTGATTCGGGTAATTGGATGTAGTTGGCGATATCTGCCGGCGGTTCTCAAAATGTTGCGATTATTTTTTTAAATTTTCCAAGTTAAATAACTCGGTTATTTTCAATTTATTTTAAAAATGGTAAAGAGAAAATATGTTTATTTTGACCAGATCTACCACCCCTTAAAATATCTGCACTCATTTCTGGGACTCCCTGTATATTTGATATCAATTAAAGTTTAACTATGTAATCGAGGGCGCAATTTGTAAATTCATTGTTGCCAACCATGGACATATTCGGCGCCCGGCTGACTAACTGTAGATATTTTAAATTTCGCGCTGGGGATTCAGGTGGTAGCTCTGCTGTAAAACGTGAAGTTACCACATTTATTTATTTAAAAGAAAATATGTAAAAGTGGGCAACGCTGTGCCGGTCAAGCTTAATCACGTGACTAAAAGTTTATTTGATATGAACCAGTGGCGGCTCGTGACCCGTGTGACTGGGTAGGCGACAGAATTTTAATTGCGTCTATTTGCCCCCCCCCCTAATTTACATAATACCCTAGCCCAGTTTGTTATATGTTATCTCTGGGTTAAAAACATAGCTCAAAAATATTTAGGACAAAACTAAAGCAAAAATAACAGCATTCAACGTAATGACATAATGATTGACATAATGTTACAAGTATAGTTTTTATTAATCTATTTTATCTATTATTTTTATTATCTATTATTATGGAGTCACTATGGAGTGTATCATAGAATTTTATTTTATTTTTATTTTTTTACGCAAAGTTAAAAATTGGTATGGTATTGAGAGAAAGAATAATTATGTTTTATATATTAAATTGATGAGTCGGTCTCTTAATAAAGAAAAGTTATTTATTATTATATCAGTAAAATCATAAGATTGTTGAAAAGCTGTGAAAAGGTCTTATTAGATTGAAAGTAAGGCGATAAACGTTTATTTTTCATGGATTTTAATGCATTTCAAACATGAAAAATGTCTCTCAACCCAAGTACTTGTAAATGGTGTAGTAACAAACAAAAGAAACAATTTGAAAGCCTCTGGAAATATATTTCCAGGATTATTCTCCTTAAATTATTTTATGCTCGAAATTATCATACCTATTATTAAAACCTGCAATTTATTCATTAAGTTATGTTGGCCAATAACATTTTTTGTTTGTTAAATCGCTATTAAATGCGTTGGAAGTTGGAAATGTACCTATCAATATAACAAGTTTGTTAAATCAGATGTTAAATGCGTTGGAAATTTTTTATAGGATTCTTTAAATTTCGGATCCGCAAGAGATAAATAAAAATAATTGAGACATACGAGTACCTATCTGCAAACCTTATTTCTAAATGTATAACAATAATGTTATCTAATATTTCATGAAATAAAATTCGCAAAGATATTTGACTTAGCCGCGTTTATTAGCATATCGAATTGAAATAGCACAGAGACTTTTCTGTAATATCTGTTGTATCGCCTTCTTGCACCGAACAAAATAACGCGCTTTTTTATTTCGGACTCTTTTATTTCTGTGGCGTGTTCTGAAATACAACCGGTTATATCATTTTTAATAATCTCAGACAAGCCCGAAAAATGTTCCAATTTGCTTTAAACGTGTTTTGAATTTTCATATAAAAGTTTTAAATGCTACATATAATGAATCATATGAAATATCCCCTTAACGCAACGTGATATATCTCCTTATGAAATATCCGGAATATCCCCTTAACATCTAAGCCTACCGAACCACCACGACTTCTTGCGAAGGCGACCGGAAATTTCGCCTAAGCCCCGCCTTAATATGATACAACTCCGACTTATGTCGCGTCGCTACCGCACGATGAGTTATACAGAGACAGAAGACTGAAAACTACGTCGTGCATCGACTCTAATAGTAGGCGATGTAAAAATCGCCGAACAAAGGCACTCCAACGGTCAAAATTATTTTGTTTTCTACGCAGCGGGACAGTCAGCGGTCAGCGGACGCCAGCGGTAGTGAATATGTTAATATACAAGACCACAAATATTAAAATAATATTGATTATTATTATTAAAACACACTTCTGTGTATTAACAGTATTTTTATGTATTGGCAACATTAATAATAAATAATGTAATGTAATAAATCGCTTAAATTGTGCTAAAATCTTAGGGTGGGCGCCGCCTACCTTGCCTACCCTGACGAGCCGCCACTGATATGAACTATATTTAGTTATTTTAAATTAAACTGAAAGATTAAATCTTTACAATTATTGCATAATCTCTTATCGTTATATTAACATTTATTTTCAATATTTTGTCCTGGTGTCAGCATAGGGCGTCGAATAAGCTGATAGCTGGCTGATTGTCTTTTAATGTCGGCGGTTCTATAGAAAGGTTTTTATTTTTAATTTATCACCGTTATTTAAAATACTTGCACTTATTTTAGAGACACTATTTTATTTTTGGCTGGACTTACTCTAAATGTAAAGATTATATGCAAATGGACCTAATATTTGTTAATTTCGTAAGTGTAGAGTTGGAAAAGTAAAACATTAGGAGGAGCAGAAGTCAGACAATAATTTGAAAAATGACGATCGAAAATTGAACTCAGTTTGGAGTCTAGTCTTTTTTTTAAATATATATAATATATAGAAAATGTTAATTTTTTCGAGTATTAAATAGTAATTAAGGATTATTTGGTGAACTATTTCAGCTTTTTGAAAGTGGTTTAGATGGATGTTATTTTTATGTAAAAAGTGCATAATCTACAGCAAAAATCTGGATTTTTTTTTATCTAAACGTTGGCTAGTTTTATCATCCACGGATTGATATAAACTAAAAAAAAAAGATTTTTATTATAGCATATGAACTTCTAGAGAAAATAAACTGATTAAACAATTTATAGAAAGTGTGCCTCAAGCATAAAGAAAATTTTACCAAATATCTTAAGAGATCGACTAGTATAATTTACATAATACCTATATTAAAAAACATCCCTATGCACGAACGCAAACCTTATAATCAAGTCAAGTATGTATGTATAAAGCCTAAATCTAATGAACTAATAAATCTTATATCGATTTAGTTTAAAAAAGCAATATTTAGTTTAAAAAATGGAAAAAGGTTTTATAGCTGGTAGAAAATTGCGTATGTGCCATAATCATACAGAAGGCTCGTTTAGATGGTGCCTCTTTTAGTGCAGTGCTGCACATAATCGGGCATGCAACATTCTTTATGTAACTAGTCGTAGCTGTTCCATGCCCCATAAAGCATGCCCCATTCTGTTTACATGCTCTGAAACATTCAGCAACTATGGGACGAAGACTGACGTATCCGCTACTAATGTAATTTAAAAGAAATTATAGTAAGAACTATTTGGATGCATGATAACGTTAAATAAAAACGTTTTGAAATATTTGACGTCATTTTTTCACAGAAATATTGAAAACGCGAAACTATTTTTAAGCTTTAGATTTTAGACAAACTACCGATAAGACCACGTGTTTCCCTGGCAACCTGTGTTAACAACTGCATCGTTAGTAAAAGCGTTGGCGAGTTGTTTTAAGACGATTGATCTGAGAATAAATACTTCGTGCTTTGTCAATGTTGTAACATTTGAGCGATATGCAATAATCACTTCGATTTTATCTTACACATAGCGCGAACAATTTTAGGTGAAACACTAAGCGAGCCTCCATTGGGTATGATGTAGCATATCGTCAGATTGGCAACATCGCACTATACTTCACCAGTACCACCTTGAAGAATTTTAAGGCATGCGCATTTTCAACTACTAAAAAACCTTTTTAGCAAAACACTTTTCTGTTTCTTGGAAAAAAAGTTAATATATAAAAAAAATCAAGGTGCCTCAACTGTACTTTTTTTAAGCCATTTTTTACAGCTATCAATGCAAGATAATGTGTTATAAACTATTGATTTGTTATTAATAGTAAGAATTATTATATTATTGAAAAGGTTACATATAATATGTAACCGCCTAAACATGTTATCCAATATCGTTGTTGAAATTTAAGAGCCCATAATGATAAGATACTATATTTATGTAACAAATAATAAATGTTGCTAAATGAAATGGTAATTTATATCTTCTAAAAGTATTTGTTAGTGTATAGAAGCGATGTATAAAAGTGAAAAAATCTAAAAAAATCATGTTTGTTATACGAAGCGATCCACAGTGATTGAAACAGTTGGCAAAACTGTGTTAGAGGATTTTAGAATTAGTGATTGTGCGCGTTCAGGGAACACAGCGGCTGACCGACCGCTGAGTATTTTACTCAGCGGCTGACTGTTTTTGCGTGTAAAAAGAGACCGTTTAGGGAAACCGCTTACTCAGCCACTCAGCCGCTGACCGTCCCTGAACGCGCCCATTGTTACTGATGGTAAAACAAATTATCTTGTTACTGATGGTAAAACAAATTATCATTCGAAACATTTCAGCGACGTATGTCAATCATATTTATTATAAAGACTATATCACAGATTAGGTATCCTATAAGTACACAGATAAAAATCTTGTCCCTAATTCGTGGTACGAAAATTGTTTTTTATTACGATGAGCAAACGAGTAAATTTTCTTGTCCGCAAAAATAAACTCCCGTTTAAACAGCGTAATAACTGGGCCGGTCAGGCGCTGTGCACAATTTTAGAGGAAATAAGTGGGCATGCTTGTGCGCAAAATAGTAACCTAACTAGTGCGCGACTCCGAAAATTGGAACCACTAAAAACTGCTTTTGACGATAAGTTTATAATCTGTGACTATATCGCCTCTATTCTGCATTCTGTGAAGCCGAGCATGTGAAATACACATACAGGGTCGCTATTATGTATGGAAACGATCGATTATTAGGTAAAATATAGGAGGTACCGCAAAAAGTTAAATATAAAAGTTATAGGATTTTTAAATATCTATTAGCGAGTAATAAATTTAAGTATACAGGGTCGTTCATAAAGTCGTGGCACATCAAAGTTTCATTTTTTATAGAAGCCCCTGTATATTATTACACATTTCAATTCTTCCTTCAATTCTAAGCAAACATCGAAATACACACAATGTACTTCAAACCAACCGTTTCCGAGTTATTGACTTTTGAAAATATCACTTAAACAATTCGATTTAATTAATTTCGATGTGTTTAGTTTGATTTAATGATGCCATTCTGCCGAAACTGTGATACTGTTGTATGGGTTTTTAAATTCCTACTAGCTACTATTAAATTTAAGTATACAGGGTCGGTCATAAAGTTGTGTCACATCAAACTTTATTTTTTTAAATGAAACCCCCTGTATATTATTGCTTATTTCAATTATTCCTTCAATTTTAACGTAATACACAATGTACATAAATTGAGGAATTGAAATGTTAAACGAAAATTTTGTAATTTCCAGACTTGATATACCTACTCATTTTAAGTGTCATTTATGTTTTTGCTTGTAATAATACCTAATAAGTATTTGAATTTCTTATATTTATTGCTAACTAAATGAATAAAATCGGAATAGCTAACTATTTCAATCATTTTGGATCGCTCCGTTTATAAGATTGAGTTTTCTACATATTAAAAATGAATTTATTATAATCTGCATAAATATTTTTTTTCGTATACAGTGTCACAAGTAATAAATTAATTCCTTCTGATCATATATAACTCCTTAAAAAAACTTGTATACAGGGTGGAAAAAAAACATAATAGGAAATTATATGGAAAATAAAAATGAAAATTTTATTAAGAAAAAAATTGTCATATTATAAATTTTTGTCGTACTATATTATACGTATGTATATGTATATTATAGGATTAAGAAAATATTTGAAATACGCAACGTACACTATAATCGCAACATATATGTTTAAAAACTGAATACTAATTATTTACACCAAAGTTTACAAACATTAATAATTTCTATAATTTGTTATAAAATTGATTTTTGTATTTCATAATTAAGTTCAGTGTAATCACCGAATATAAATATATATACATATACAGTGCGATTATTTTTACTATGAACGTAATGTGAGATAAATCTGAGATTCAAAAATCAGTTGTATTACCAACATAATAGAAACTGTTTAGAGTAAAAATAAAAGGACTGTCTGTGCAGTATGTTGTTATTTCTATTGTAAATAAATGTTAAATAATATTATTTATTTCCTCCTTCGATTTTAGGTATTAGTTTTTATGGAATTAGACATGTAAATTATTTTAACAGTTCAAACTAACTTGTGAATATATGTTTTAATATTTCTTCTTATTTACTGTATTTACTGCACTATGAACTGATAATATTTTAAGTGAATATAAGTAAAAATATATCTTATGAGAAGTATTGAAGTAAATTGTTCAATGTTGAAGAAATATATATGTTCATAACCCTGAAATGTTTTCAAATGTTAATTCGTAAGAACTCTTATATAACGTAGTCCCGATTTTAATAATTGTTGTATCTCTTTCATGAAATTTCTGTCTGTATTTAAATGTGATTCTGATTCTAATGTTATAAAGCCTTTATGAATATATCTCTCCTATGGTAGTATTTACATTTTCAAAATATAAGGAATTTTCGAGGTCCTCGAGCATTTATTATTATTATTCTTTAATTTTAACTTAAAGAATATGGTCTCTTGATAATTTCTGTCGTTTCAGCTTCAACTGTTGAAGCAAGTCTTTCTGTGTTATGTACATAATATAACAAATTTTAGCAATACTATATGTGTCCATTTTAGTCAAATATATATTGATATAAGTGATGTGTTTAATTGTTTAGAATTTTTACAACTGTTTTATAATACCCGGGCACACCTAAAATTAAAACCACAAAATATTGGATAGAACAGCATATTGTATATTGTTTTATTTACATTAAATATAAAATATATTGCTTCTACCTCTTAATATTTCAGAACATGGATAATTTTGGAAACTCCTACCAACAATTTCAAATTTTGGTCTTAATTCGCTAAATTTTCTCTTAAATGGTCCACAACAAAAGATAAATAAAGAGAACACTACGTTTTTTATATTATATTTCAAAAAACAATATTCGGTTCGTTCTTATTTAATTACAAATATTAGAAAATCAATTTTCACTAGTTTATTTCACCAATTCTTCATAGAATATATTAGGCCAATTTTTTCTCCTTTTTAGTATAAAGCGCTACTCTCGTGTTTTTTTCAATTTGATGAAAGGATGCCTATATTTTTCTTGAAACACAAATCACTAATTAGTAGCTTAGTTCGGTTTTTGTTATTACCGATTATGGACTGTCCTAGAACTCTACAGCGCATGCAGATAGGAAAAAATTGCCTCATATTTCCCTCTGAGCTTACGTTAGTGGCAATTGGCCATTGAACAATATGGATTTTTTTGCATGGCGTAGTGACGTCACAGGTGATATGCGCAAACTGAACGACATTGGAGCCACTATCGATCATACCTTGTTTTCTTTGTATCATGGTTCAGAATCGGTAATAACACAAAACCCGAACTAAGCTAGTGTGACATCCATATACAACGACAACACTCTGAAACCTATGCAACCAACAAAACATAGAAATGTATTCTTAACATAATAGATTGATGCTATTCTATTTTGGACCTTAATTTAACTGCTCTTTAGGTTGAAACTAGACAACAAAATTGATAGAACTCCGCGAAATGTTGGTTCCATATCTAGTGGCGTCATCACTAACGTTCCATTTAAATATCGCTTATATAAGGTTTCGTAATATCTTACAGAGTTTAGATATAGTGTTATTGACGAAATGACAACCATTGATTCTATTATATTACTTAAAATATGACGAATATCATTAGATCACTTAATTTGATACTGGAAGAACATAAGATGTAAAATATCTTAAATCTATCATAGATAATCTAAATGTAGTAGCACTAAAAAAGATTTTTTTCTCAAACGTTTTAAAAAATCCAATATAAGGAAGTCATATTTTCGCTTGTTAGTGAGATTTAAAAATGTTATGTTTACTTCATAATCTAATTGAATAAAAAATATTTTCATTAATAACAATCATTTTTACAGTCTTTACACAAAATATGTTACTAGACATGAAAAATAAATAATTGTTCATATTATGTTCACTATTCATTAAAAATAAATAAATATACACAAATTTATACTTAAGGCATCTTCATTTTATATCTGTATTAGTATTCAATTATAGTGTGCCTTTTACATAATTTAATCTTAAATTTCGATTCTAACCTATTACATAATTTGTAAAAATAAATAGGAGATTGACATATAGAGAACATTTAAGAAATAATACATAGTTAAAAAATTATAAATATACATATAAAAATAAACATCTCTAAAAAAATATATATAGAAAAGTATAAACAATAAAAAATGTCTATATAAACAATAACAGTAACAAAAATAATTCGATAAATGTATCTAGGATTAAGTACTATCAATGTTAAAATGCAACAGCATGGAGTATTATAAAAAAACTCAACAAAAAGTAAATGACAGGTGGAGCTACATTGAAAGCCTATTATTTCAAAAAAAAAAGATGTAAGCGTCAGGATTAGTAGTTTAAATGTACCCCACATTTAGTCTACTTAATTTACTTTCTTATACTGTTTTTCTATTTCATTACTCAGTTTCCATCGTTTTTTTTTATTAAAACAAAACCTTTGAATAAAAAGATTAAAGAAGGAGCTTATCAGTATTTCTTAGATCGAAAGCGACGGCCGACTCTAAAATGGCCGACTTAAATTCCGGTTTATCAGTGCCGTTCTAATTTTATTCAAAACGTCTAAAAATATGATGTAGGGTAGACTCAATAATATGTTCTTTTATTTTACGTTGTCAATAAAGTTGGTAGTTATTAAAATTGCTATAAAAATATGCAATTCCAATAAAAATAGATAAGTTATAATAATTATTTATTAACACAACCATCCGATACGCTACTGAAGCAGATAAGTGAAATTGACGTATCTAAAATCTTTGACATCTAATCTTTGACAAGTAGTAAATAAAAACAAAAATGCAAGAAAAAAATATATAATTAGTTAATTTTGAGTGAATTTCATAAATGATCGGTTTACTACACATATGTATATTATACAGGGTGAGTCTTAGATAAGTGCAAATATTTTCAGGGCCGGTAGATCTCGATAAAAGAAACATATTTTCTATTTACCATTTTTTAGATAAGTCGCTCATAATCCAGTTATTTAAGTTTAAAAATTTAAAAAAAAATGTTTTTTTTTGGGAGAATTTTGAGAGCCACCGTATTTTTTCTGTATTTGCAATTTGCATCCCTTTTATTGCTGTAACCATAGAGTAAAGCCGTAACCATGATAATATCAGATATTAAGAAATTATACCGTGGGAAAATTTGTGGTGAACAGGCAGTTCTAAAAAGCTTTCGAAAAATATACAGGGAAATTTAAAAGAAAATGCACGATTTTCAACAGCTTTTCTAGCGAAAAAAACCTCATAGACGTGTTCCTGGGGTCGAAATATACCACCCCTGAAAATATTTGCACTTATTTAAGACTCACCCTGTATAGTCACTTACGGGCGAAAAGTTATTCCATTATTTCCCTCGATTTTTGACCGATATCTACCGCACGCTACACGACCAACTATTTTACAGTCTTTTTCGATAAATCGCAATAGTGTCACTGTTAATTTAAGTTCTGTCACAAAAAAATCCTAGATTTGCTACTTCTAAACAACTGCCAGTTGTAGAACAAATAATATATAACATAAAATAACCTCAGTAAAGACTGACAAATTAACAAAATTTCAAATCAAATTCAATGTATCGTCCAACAGAACTGTCCAGGATCCCCACCCTTCCCGTCTAGAGTCCTCTTCCCGTCGACCATGCATGAATAATGGAAAGCATTATACTTCTTCCCTAATCCTTTTATTCAAAGATTAACACTCTAAAATTACTCAACGTGTATAAAGAATATAAGAGCCAGGATTAGTAGTTCAAATGTACGCTACATTTAAACTACTTAATTTACTTTGTTACTATTACTCTATTTTATTTCTCGGTTTCAATCGTTTTTCCTCAAAATAACCATCAAAAATTACTCGACCTGTATGTAGTCCAGCCGTCGGCGTCGTAGGGTGGAAATAAATCAAAATCACAGCCAGTTTTATCCTCAAAAAAAAACTGGACCATTGGGAAAGTATTCCTTTCAGGACTTAATGCCTACCAGACACCTTTTCACGTTGTGAAACCATTTTTTATCCCGTCATTGTTCTGATCTATACCTGCAACAATTCAAACCACATGTACAAAAATTATTGAGCGGTTCTGGTTGTCTATTTTATCTAGAGTATTGTAAACATCTTTGTTGTGAAAAACATGTCTATACCTTTGTGGCGAATTCATCTCTCCAAAAAATCCTATGGGTATTTCGCCACTGTAAGAAAATCTACAAAATAAAATAGTTATTTTTTGTAAACACTGCTGGCGTTAATCCAACTGAGACTAATTTTATTGTCAGCAGTGGTTTACTAATAAAGAAATTTGCCTAACGGACAAAAAAATGCTTAACGTTTCTGGAAGTATATCTCTTCCCGTCGTCGGAAGCAAAAATCACAAAGAACAAAGAAAAAAAAAACATTTAAAATATCTAAATGTAACTATTCGAGAACACTTAAAACAGATACATAACCGTTGACGTCGAACATTTTGAGGACGTTATAATGGTCGCATTTAGATATTTTAAATAGCTTTTTTCTTTATTCCTTGGGTTTTTTTGCTTCCGACGACGTGACGGGAAGAGATATACTTCCCGAAACGTTAAGCATTTTTTTGTCCGTTAGGCAAATTTATTAGTAAACTACTGCTGACAATTAGTCCCCGTTGGATTAACGCAGTAGTAAAGTAAAGATTTCAGTTACCGTCTCCTTTTTGCTGCCAGGGCTAATCTGGACGGGGCCTACTTTGTTTACGCGGAATCCGAACCGCGGTACTCGGCCATATCATGGTCAATGGCCTACCGACCTGGCAAGTGTCTAAATCGACTCTTACTCACGAGATATCCGATCTCATCCGGCCTCGAACCGGCGTGAATGAGCAGTTTGTGTCAATAGATTTTACACTTTCGCCTTTTTTTGGATAACAGCACGATACAGAGTTTCGAACCGGGTCACCCGTCCATCCACTAGTATCGCCTTACGTCGCTTAACTTCGGTGTTCTAATGGGAACCGGTGTTTCGACGTAGCTGGGCCGTTGCCCTAACGCAGTAGTGTTTACAGAAAATAACTATTTTATTTTGTAGACTTTCTTACAGTGGCGAAATACCCGTAGAATTTTTTGAAGAGATCTTTGTTGTGTACGTGTCTGTCGTTTTTTTCGGGACTTGGAATTAAAAAATTATGTTTTTTTGTTACGTGAGAAAGTCCTTTGATACTCTGTAGCGGTCGAAATCAAACTCTTCTAGTAGTGAAGTAGTGATACTATTTCTTATACAGGGTGGTCCGAACTGTATTCCGGAAGCTTCGGCAGCATATTCTGCAGATAAAAAGAAGTAAAAAAGTTCGTATAAATGTATGTCTTAAAATGCTTAGTTTCGGAGATACAGGGTGTAGTTGTAATTTTATTTCGATTTTTAAGTTTCAATTTTATTTCGATTTTTTCCAAATAATTTCCGAAGTAACGTCAATATTTGTATGAAAATTGGTATCTGGGAGTTTTTTGACAAGAGACATTTGATTTTGATGTCAATATGACTCCTACTTGTAGAGGGCGCCACCTACATGTGTTTTAACTGTTTTGAAGAGTAATAACTTTTCGTTCGTACCTGTATAAAACTACTGAGAGGAAAAATATATATTTCTGTGATTTTTTACGTAAAAAATGTTTCTTGGTAAAAATCGCTACGAGCAACCGTTCTCAAGATATTTTAAATGGAAACAGGCAATACATGTCATTGTTGACAAAAAATAAACATGTTGAATAGATAGTTATTTGACTGAAATGATAAATTTGGAATTTTTTTTTATTTTTTTAAATTAATAATAAATTTTTCTTCGAAAAAATGATGATAAAACAGTTTCTTTGAATTTTGACACAAAATCATTTCAAATTTATGATTTCAGTCAGTCGACATGTTTAATTTATGTCAATGTTGACATGTATTGATAATTGAGATTCCAAATATTTCGAGAACTATTTCTCATAGCGATTTTTACCAAGAGACCTTTTTTACGTAAAAAAGGCGTAAATGTATATTTTTTACTCAGTAGTTTTATACAGGTACGGGCGAAAAGTTATTACTCTTCAAACCAGTAAAAAATATGTAGGTGGCGCCCTCTACAAGTAGGAGTCTTATTGACATCAAAATCAATTTCTCATGTCAAAAAACTTCCAGACACCAATTTTCATCCAAATATTGACGTTACTTCAGAAATTATTTGGAAAAAATCGAAATAAAAATGAAACTTCTACACCCTGTATCTCTAAAACTAAGCATTTTAGGACATACTATATGAACTTTTTTACCTATTTTTATCTGCAGAACATGCTGCCGAAGTTTCCGGAATACAGTTCGGACCACCCTGTATATAATGCTCTTGCTTCTTTTCTCTCTCTCTCTTTTGAAGTTTCACTAATATTTATTAGTAATTATAGAAGTCATTAGCATTACTTATGTTTATGTTATGTTTTAATAGATATTTGTATTTTTAATTCAATATTTTAAGGCTTTTTTCTCAAATTTAGGTAAGTTGGTTTATGTTTTTTGATGTGAATTTTAAGTTGTCTATATTTTTTTCTTTGTTCGTGTTCATGTTAATTTTTTTATTAAAAATCTCAATTTTATGTCGATTTTACTTTGGAAAACCATCCCTTGCTTCCTAATTGATGAACGACATCAGCATTGAAGAAAAATTAGTTAGTACCGAAAAAAAAGAGGAAATCCCGGTTCCTAAGAACGCGCTATCAAAACAGCTCTGATTCCGGAAACCCTACTCCAAAGTACGAGGATTGATCTATAAAATATCTTTACTTACTTTTCCCACCTGGCATCGTCCGATTCGTGAGTGATGTATCTCACAGACATTTGGTTCTCCAAGGTTCTCAGATCACACCACGTTTGATAATCCTAAATATCACATAATTTAAAATACAGGATGTTACAATTGAAATAATCATAATAATATGAAAAAAACTTACTTGTAACCAAATGTGCTGCAGACTTTTATCAACAGTGTACCTCTTCCTCTGTTTAACTTGAAGCAAATTATTGATAAGGTCGATAGCTGAAACATAGTATTTGAGCATGGTTTGTTTAGGTTAAAATCATCTCGTTTTTTTACCATCAGATGAGATTTCTTTCCAAGGGTTGGGAGGGTACATGAAGGCCGCGTTCTGTATCTGGTCATTGATATCTTCGTCTTCATTGAAGGGGAATGTACCGCTTAGGCTGACGTAAACTATAACGCCCACGCTCCACATATCCAAAGATCGGTTATATCCTTTGTTTCTCAATACTTCGGGCGCTAGAAATACATGCATACATTTTGCATATTTGAATAAGTTCACAATTAATTTAATTTTCTTCTACATAAAAAATTGCGAAAATTATATTTACTCATACCAAATGCGCGTCACTAATAATTCTGGAAACATACCGCGCTGGCAACTGTTACTTTTGGGTCGGTACTTACATGGGTGGAAGTAAATCGCATAGGGATCTTATTAAGTCGGAGTGAGAGAAGACATGTGCTGTTGCGTCGTTGCCGGTACGCCTTTCCCTATCAAGTAAAGTAAAATCACGATCGCAAACCGCTTATTTTTAAAAGATTTTTTTTTCGAAAAAAAAAATATTAAGAAAGTTTTTGAAAAAACTACAATCAATTATTTCTAATAGATTTGGAGATATCCATTTTTGAATTCAGAGTTCTAATAGCGCGACCACTGTCTAACACAAACTAAATTCAACTTATTTTTACCAAAAATGCAAGCGTTTCTAACTTGCACTTAAAAATTTTCAAGCTATAGGGAAAATTACAACGATTCGTTAGCACAGTTTATCTTTTTTACAATGTGCACCGTTTCTCGGATTTCATACGTTTGACAACGTGTTTACTGTTCTCTCTTTGTTCAGTACATTATAAACGCATTGTACTCTTCTTACATACGGAAATCTCGACCCAAGACCAGCCAGCCCTTATTATACTACTTTATATAGGAAGTCTCTTAAATAAGTATTTTAATTGCTAATATTTCGATCCCTCAAACATGCTAAAGCTTCATTCAGAACCTTGCAATTAGTGGAATAAATTAGTAGTTTCAATTACACTTTATACTTTTTAGTTTACGATCATTCACAATGTCTAAAAAACACAATAGCAACAGTTTGCAGTAGTATCAGTTGTATCCATAGAGAAAGCCTAATATTTAGCTTATAAAACAATAAAATTTTGGTTTCTAACCACATTTTCTCTTGACGGATGATAATCAAAGGCCAAAATGACATTCCTCGCGAATTTTGAAGCATAATTAGTGGAAAAGTCAAAAGTCTGTTAACTTTTTCCACTAATTGAAAATTTCTACCACTAATTTTGACGTTCTGAATGCTTACATTCAAATTAGAGGAACAAACTTCTGCGCTAATTTAAACCACTAATTTATTCTACTAATTGAGAGGTTCATAATGAAGCTGGATTCATTTTAATTATGTCAGTGGCTTTATTAATCAATCTAGAAAAATGTACTGTATTTATTATTCAACGCACACTAACTAAAATATTTTAAGTTATTTTCAACAGTTATTGCAGTTGCTCGTATCCTGATATTCAACGTGGCAACACAGGGCGTTGAATAAACAGAGAGTCGGCCGGTTGATTCCCATTGATGTTGGCGATTCCCAAAATTAAGCGTGTTGCGTTCTTTTTTTAAACTTAAATAAACCGGTTATTTTCAATTTGCTTTGAAAATATGTATCAATTGAAAATATACCTCTTTTGTCCAGATCTACAATCCCTTGAAATATTTGCTCCAATAAACGGAGACAATAGGAGAAAAAACATATATTTTTGACAAAAATGGATTTAAATCATACCTAAGTAGGCTGGGGTTCCGACGACCGATCTCCTGAAAGATTTCTCTCCAATGATACGAGCAAACCCGAAGTCGCACAGTTTGACTTGAGGATATTCGGAATCGGAGTTCAAGAGAACGTTTTCAGGTTTCAAATCGCAGTGCACAATGTTCTTGCTGTGCAGGTGTTTCAACGCGACCAAAATCTAAACAGAAATACACTGACATTTGCAAACAATAAATATATAATTCCTTATTATTTTTATAATATACAGAGAAGACCAGGCTACTAGTATCATAGCAAGTTGCCGGACGAATTTACGTTTACCCGATTTGCGTTTGTACTAGAGATTCACTGCCGGCTAGTCGGCTGGTCAGGCAGTACGCAGTTGCAGTTGTGCTTGGACGGGTCGGTCGTGATACTAGGAATACGACGCGAGAAGTGCCGAGTATTTATTATTTTCATTTTAAGTGTTTACCTTCACTTAAGGTACCATTTGAAATAAAAATACTTAAATATTTATTATTTGAGTGTGTTTACAAACCAAAATTAAAAATAAATAAATTCTCTAAACCCAAAAAAAAAATATTACTCTAAATAAAAAAAAAGTTATAACAAGTGTTCAAAAAGACCACCTTCTTGTGCTAGACAGAAGCCTAGGCGGTCGTAAAATCCCCGTCTGACATTGGTTAACATATTAAGGCTAATAGTTTGGAAAGCCTCTCATATTTTTACTTGAAGCTCATCCAGATTATTAGCCCTATTATGACCCTGATTTAGCCCTTTGGATTTTACATAACCCTACAAAAAGAAATCATTGGGAGAAAGATCTGGTGATCTAGCGGGCCACAAAATAGTTCCATGTTCACTAATTAAACGGTTGGGAAAAGTATTGTTCAAATATTCTTGAGCAATACGGGTATTGTGGGCAGGGCAACCATCTTGTTGAAACCAGACATTGTGGAATCTTTCTCCCAATAACTCACGGATTCCAGCGACAATCTGCTGCTGTAACAAGTCCAAATACTTTGCAACAGTTAAATTACCCTTTATAAAAAATGGACCAATCATATGCTCCCCTACAAAACCACCCCAAACACTTGCTTTAACTCCTGTTCTTCATTAATCAACACATCAGGCATTTTATGTTTTTGTGCGGACAGGCACCCATGTGTTTCAAAATTATTAATAACTCTTGATATAGTAGGTAAAGATGGAATTGGCCTGTTTACAAAAGTTTGTGGAAAAATTGTTTGTATATCCCGATAAGACCTATTTTGGAAATACCATTTTACAATTTACAATTTGAATTTTCTCACGAACGTCGTAAACATCCATTATTTTACTTAAAAAATAAATTTTACACGAGAGCTGTAGCGAGAATCTATGTATTCGTTTTGGCTATTAAAACACGAATAAATACAAATTCTGTAACATTCTTATCACATATCTACCTATTTTTATTTTATCACATTTTTTCGCCTGTTTTTTATCCGGGGGACGGGTATACGCTAATTCGTCCGGTTCTGCCTATGTTACTACTACGGTGGTCCGGTCTGTATATGTCGCAGGCGTACAGAATAAGCCGGCTTTTTGCAAAAGGCTAGGCATATTATAAAACGCCGACTTTTTACACAAAAGCAGGAATTTTTACAATAAACCTATCTATCTTCAGTCACTTTGCAAAAAGCCTAATCAATTATTATTAATTAATTAATTAATTATTATTTCAGAATTAGACTATTAAACAATGATATTTTCTGTACACTTCTGCAAAAAGACTGCCCGTTTGCAGTCATTTTACAAAATGTCAAATCGAGAATCAACGCCAGGCAGATTAAAAAATGATCAAAGTTTAGTCAGCTTTGAGCATAAGTATATTGAATAATTTATGCTTTAATAAAAATACCCCGTATTTTCCTACACAAAAACGTAAATTATTTATGTAAAAATTGTATTATGTTTAAACGAAAACAACTTGAATCCTATATCATAAATTTCAATTAGAAGTAACAAAATTTTAAATACAAAATATATCAAGGTTGTATCAAGATTTTTTTTATATACCGGGTGCGTCTCAAAAGTGGCTCACCCCTATAACTTTTTTATTTTTTTAGATAAAAAAAAAGAGATTTGGTATGTTAGTATATGACATAAATTAGGATTGATTGACGTATTCAATTGTTTTTGGCCACTTCCTGTTTCACCGGAAATGACGACAACTTTTAATTTTTAAATGGCATCTTCGGTATTTTTTTACTTTATTCGATAGAAAATGACATTCTGAATAAAATGACATATGATATGTCAACTTTTGACATTCTCGCTTAATAAAAAATCGTATTTTAAAATTCAATCTAGAGTGCCATGGCTAAGTTAAAAACACTAATTCTTAATCAAGGAGCCTTGGAAAAATAGATCTGATCGTCTAATGTTTTTGGTGTCTTGTCCTGACCAGTTAGAAAATGCCCAAATCGTATTTATAACCATATCTCAATTTTTTCAAATGGAACGATGGTGGCTCATTAGCATATTTAGAAAAAACATTTTTTCACGAATAATTTGACACCACACACTTGGTATTTCGAGTCAAATTTTCGTTACGAACCGGAAATTATAATTCCAAATAAACCATATGTAAAAATGTCAAAAGTAGGCTATGATATGTCATTCTATTCAGAGTGTTATTTTCTATCGAATAAAGTAAAAAAATTCTGAGGATGCCATTTAAAAATCAAAAGTTTTAGTCATTTCCGGTGCAACAGGAAGTGACCGAAAACAATTGAATACGTCAATCAATCCTAATTTATGTCATATACTAACATACCAAATCTCGTTTTTTTAACATAAAACAAATAAAAAATTTATAGGGGTGAGCCACTTTTGAGACGCACCAGGTATATATTAAGGTTTTACCACGGCATATAAATCACACGGCAGGCTAACTCTGCCCAGATCCCATTGTCTAAAATTTCTATAAAATTTGACCTTGAAAACACAATTATAGGTGCCAAGTCAGGGCCGGATTAAAACGTATCAAAAAATTTCCCAGAAAATAAAGTATTAATAGACAGGGTCGTATTAAAAAAATACTGTAATTGACTGAAACTGAATTTTATTTACACAATACTTTTATTTAAACAAATGAATCGTTAACCGCGCATACTCCTCGAAAAGAAAAAATGAAACAATCAATTAAACATTTAACTGTAGAGAAAAGACAATTAAAATTAAAAAACATGCCAGGAGTTACAAACAAGAATAATAAAGAAATACCCAATAAAATATCTATTGTAAATTTGACAGCTGTCAAAATTTTTTTAAAGTTGTCCGATTTTGATAAAAATCGATATATAGGTTGGCCATGGGCTAAAATGAAAGAAAAAAAATTGAGCTGTCAAATTTGACAGTTGTCAAAAAATCTCAAAGTTGTCCGATTTTGATAAAAATCGATATATTGGATGCTCCCTACCCCATAGTCGGTTTTCATTTTATTTATCTCACATTTGAACTGTCAAATTTTACAGCTGTCGTTTTTTTAAGTTCTCCTTTTGTAATGAAAATCGATATACATATTATTAGGATGCCCATAGGAAGGTATTTAAGAAAAAAAATTGGATTTAACTGAGAAATCAGCATAACTAAATAGTAAAAAATAAATTTAAGAAAAAAAACTTTTTAAAAACAAGCTTTTATTTAAACACATTAAAAAGAAAAAAATTAACTTTTTCTTTAAAACTTTTAGTATGAACTTATAACGTCATTACACAATTTTATATTATATAAAAGCTTGTCGCGAGATTTGAGTGTACAGTTGCACTCATAAAAATCTGGTACAACTTTATCTTGTAATTCCTGTAATTCTTGTAATTCCAACATTTGTTTATCTTGTAAACCTATCATTATTCCCATCCAGGATAAATTAATCCAGTTAAGGGTGGCTGCAACAACGTCCAGTAATCCTGCTGTTAAAAAATAACAGCTGGTTTTTACATATAAATATCAATTGTTATGTTTTAACAGCAGGGTTACGGGAGGTCGTTGCAGCCACCCTTAGAAGAACATTTAAAAAACTTTGTGTCTGAATATTGGCTGGAGGCTTTGAGAGAGAGCAGAGACCTGCAGATCTTATTTTAATCGGTCATGTCATTTTACGTATTTTACATTGTATTTTTTATTGTGATTTTTTTATTTATAAGTGCATTTTTTATTTTTACTGATTGATTTTTGACTTATCTGTGAAATGTGTATTTCTTATGACTAATAAAGATTATTATAATTTATTACACACGGGTACTGAAAATTCCCAAAATGATCTGGCAAACATCTTATTAAAAACGGCAGACCTTATAAAAAACAACGAGACCTCTGTTCTCTTCTCTCTGAATCCCATAAAAATTAAAAATAGATACGGATAATCAGAAAAATATTAATTTAGAAATGAATCTTGTTTGTCATTTTGCAGGATACCTAATAATAAAAATTACTTTGAATGCCGTAGACAATGATTGAGTATTAAAACTAAAAGAATTTCGGACTTCCATTGTACTACTAAACTACAAAAACCAAATATATCACACAATAAACAAAAATAAAAAAACAAAATATATCACTCAAGAAAAGAATGAAATAAATTAAGCCGCACGCTACTGACTCAAAGCTGCCGTAACTGTATGTTGTCGATGACAAAAACTACGACTGACTACGACACTGGTTAATTTCTGTTGCTGGCACCCATAATGGCGGCGTGCGCAAGGAAATGCGCGTAGCGTTCTCGCCAAAGCGAGTCGGCCTGCCGTGTGATTTATATGCCGTGGTTTTACTATCTCATTTAATTATTGACTGTACTTAAACTGCCGTTAAACGGTAGCTTACTAAAATGCCGTTAATAGGTATGACGTCGTTGATGTGACGCACTTGACGGCTTTATGAAATATAAGAATTTTATAAGAACTAACCAACGCTATCCACCCCACCAAATAACCAAGTTAACCAACGCAACTAACCTCGACACTGATAAAAAAATATAAAAAACAAATATAAATTAGTAAAAACCAACCAACCCCACCAAATAACCAACTAACCAGTGAATTAACACCCTCCAAATAACCACGCTAACCAACCCGCCAAATAACTAAACCAATCCAACCAAAAAGAATGAAACCAATGCAATAAGATTACGCTATAAGCCAAAAAAATATAAAAAAGACTTGGTCGGCGTGAGATTTGACCCACGGACCATTCGCTCACGAAGCGATAGCCTCAGCCACGGAGCCACAGGTGCTCTTGCAAAATGCTTATAACTAGGCATTACTTTCCGCCGACATGAACGACGTCACAATATCTATTAACGGCATTTTAGTAGCCTACCGTTTAACGGCTGTTTAAGTACATCGTTAATTATTATACTCTGTAATTCGATTCTGTGTACAGGGCTACTTCTTTGTGCAATTTTGTTTTCTTTTAGAATAAAATGAATTTAGATCTTTATAATAATCATCCCCAATCATACTCTATTTAAAAGAATTATCACTTTTTGTGCCATTATTTCCAATTTTGAAAGAGAAGTTCAAGAAATGTCGTTGGATAAATTTAGGACAGTTATAAAAATCTCGCGTAAAATGTTTTGTGCTATCTGACTAGTCTTCATTAGGCATTTTGCAGTGACTGAAAACAGATAGGCTCTTTGTAAAATATGCTTCTTTTGTTAAAAACGCCGGCATTTTATAATATGCCTAGTCTTTTTCCAAAATGCCGAGTTATTCGATACGCCTGCGACATATATAAACCCTTAAACACCTTAAAAGTGGGGTTAGGCCAAGGTTATTAAAAGATAAGGTTGTCTCGTAACTTTTGGACCAATAGGAGTGAAGCTGCAACTACGTCACAGGGATGCTACAGAACGTATAAAATCATAGGATAAAGGAATAAAAAATAAAATGCAACCGACAAAGAGAGATAAATGGACAATACAATAAAGAAAACACACATCAAACAACTGAAAACTATTGACGCCATACAATCTAAACAATAAAGTACACAATGAATAGTACAGAGACTGGCATGTATCTGCATCACAGGTGCCATGAGAACATGTCCAACAGCAGCAATGGAGGTCATTCTAGACCTAACACCACTGCATATTGTCGTCGGTAGTTATGCCAATGCGACAATGATTAGAATGGTCATTGACGGAAACAGTACTGGGAGAATTTTCAGGTCAGGGGCTTGGAACACCCTCAAAAAGAAAATTCCACTTCTCCAACTCCCAGTGGATGACATACCAAGAATTTACAACTTTGAGAAACACCTCACTGTAGTATTGAGTAATAAAAAGGATTGGAAGAAAGAAACGCTTACTCAGCATATAAAAGACCATACCATCACGTGGTATACTGATGCTTCCAAAACCAAAGCAGGGACAGGGATAGGAGTATTTGGGCCGAAAACTGAATACTCGAACCAATGGGCACCTACCCCAGTATCCTTCAGGCAGAAATTTGCGCTATCGAAAGATGCGTACAATTTATCTTGGATAGGAACTATCGAAAACAGGAAATTGCCATCCTATCCGATAGTCAAGCAGCACTTAACGCTATCAACTCAGTAACCATCAATTCGAAGTTGGTCAAAGAATGCCTAGAGAAGCTCAACAAATTAGGCAAAGAAAATAAAGTCCTCCTACTCTGGGTGCCTGCTCACCAAGGGATAGAAGGCAATGAAAAAGCAAATGATCTAGCTAGGAAAGGAGCGAACACTCCACTAACTGGACCAGAACCGTTCTGTTTTCCAAACGGGAACCAACTGTAAGCGGAACTGAAGAATCTGGAAGACTCCATCCGTAACTTGGAATGGGTGTCCTCCAACGGCCTAAGACACTCGAAAAAGTTCCTTAGAACTTATGACCGAGAAAAATCAAAGGTTTTCCTTGATTTAAGTAAAAACAATCTTCGGATTGTCACGGGGTTTCTAACAGGACACTGTCTCCTCAACGAACACCTCAGTAGGCTGAAACTGAGAAACAACGGCGAATGCAGATTTTGTGGGGAAAATGGGGAAACACCAGAACACCTTATCACTGAGTGCGCCGAGACGACGACCATTCGTGCCATGAACCTTGGCACGTCTGATGTCGAGGATGGAGAGCTGGCCTCTGTGGAGCCGTCTCAGATACTGGCTTTTCTTAAAGCCCTGAGACTGTATGATGAGTTATAACTCGTTATAACTCAAGAAAGGGGAACACACAATAGATCTATAAGGTCGCGGTGATTAACTCCCCTTCTAAACATTCTACATTCTACATTCTACACAATGAATATCGATTCGGAAATACACTGTCGGAGAGTGTGTATAAAGGGATTTTATCCCTTTATATATGAGCGGTATCGTTCCGATGACTTAGTAGATGACGTTTTCGATAATGGCGGATCGAGTTACCCTTTGAATAAGAAGACTAAGGAAGGAGCATAATGCTATCCATGTATTCATGCATGGTGGGCGGAAAAAGCTCTCTAGGGTGGGGATCCTTGACAGTTCTGTTTGACGATTCATTTGACACATTTGAATTTGATTTGAAATTTTGTGGATATTTGTCAGCCTTTACGGAGCTTATTTTATGTTATTTATTATTTATTCTACTACTTATAGTTGTATAAAGGTGTTGTAAAAACAGTGACATTATCGCGATTTATCGAAAAAGACTCTAAAATAGTTGGTTGTGTAGCGTGCGGTAGATCTCGGCAAAAATTGAGTGAAATAATGGAACAACTTTTTGCTAGTAAGTGACTATATAATATACGTACGTGTAGTAAATCGATCATTTATGAAATTCACTTAAATTAACTAAATTATATATTTTCTTGCATTTTAGCTTTTATTTACTACTTGTCAAAGATCAGATGTCTCCAAGTGGTAACCAACTCAAGGCGGTACTCAAGAACTTGGAAGATTCCATCCGCAACCTGGAATGGAAATCTTGCAATGGTCTAAGACACTCGAAGAAGTTTCTGAGGGCTTATGATCAAAAAAAATCACAGATCTTCCTGGGTCTGAGTAAGAACAATCTTCGGATTGTCACGGGGTTTTTAACAGGACACTGTCTCATCAATGAACACCTCAGTAGATTGAAACTAAGAAGAAACGGCGAATGCAGATTCTGTGGGGAAGATGGTGAAACACCAGTACACCTCATCACTGAGTGCGCCGAGACGACAACCATTCGTGCCATGAATTTTGGTACGACTGATATTGGAGATGGAGAACTACCCTCTATAAAACCGTCCCAGATACTGGCTTTTGTCAAAGCCCTGGGACTGTATGATGAGTTATGATTCAAGAAAGGGGGACACAATGGATCTGTAAGGTCGAAGTGATTAACCCCCCTCCCACTCATTCTAAATTCTAAAAAAAAAAAGATCAGATGTCAAAGAATTTTGATACGTTAATTTGACTTACCTGCTTCAGTAGCGTATCGGATGTTTGTGTTAATAAATACTTATTATAACTTATCTATTTTTATTAGAATTATATATTTTTATAACAATTTTAATAACTACCAACATTTATTCACAACGTAAAATAAAATAACAAATTATTGAGTCTACCCCACGTCTACCCTACATCATAGTTTTACATTTTTTAAATAAAATTAGAACGGCACTGATAAACCGGTAAATTTAAGTCGGCCATATTTGAGGCCCATCGCGGTGTACCTAAGATTTTTGATATGCTCCTTCCTTAGTCTTCTTATTCAAAGGAGTTACAAGACAACCTTATCTTTTAATAACCTTGGGGTTAGGCGATAAAATCTCGAAAAGTATCAAAGGGAAATTCTATTCATAACTGGAATTTACCTCTTTGTGTGGAATTTTTCGGAAATTTTTTCAATAAAAAATGTAATGAATAGAAAATACCTGTGTAATCAAAAACTTGGTAACTCTTTCTGTAAGTCTTCCCTTGTCGTGGGATAATATCATCTCCAGCATGTCGCCTTTGAGTTTTTCCATGACCACGAAAATTCTTTCTGGTGTTTCAAACATGCGCTCCAAGTTCACTACGCCTGGATTTGAGAGATTTTGCAATATTGCCACTTCGTTCTTCAATTGAGCCTCTTGTTTTGTGGGAAACCTTAGTTTATCAATTACCTGTAAAAATTACTATACAGATTGGACAACCCTAGAACCCGTGGTTTGCATCAAAATTTCATACCGCCCAAGTAGGGGTTTACGAAAAATGCCTACAGACGTACGAACTGGCAACACTTTATGCCGCTTATTTTGTCTCTCTGTCTGTCAACTGACCAGATATACATATATTTATCTTTGTTGTAACCATTAAAATACAGACCACCGAAATAGTGTCCATATATTTTCGATATAATATAAACCAGTATTTTTGATATATTTTCTTAATTTACATAATTTAAATCATTTCAATGATTTAATAACAGTAGTTTCATCGATATTTTATCGAAAGCGGTGACCACCAAAATGGACAATTTTCATGACTATGTTTGGAAAAATTATTTTACTTATTTTACTCTTAGAGATACCTTAATAGCAACAGGCCGAGAGGTCCTCCTATGGACACCTCCATACACAATTCCAAACTGCCCAGAACCCAAAACTTCGTCAGGGTAGATCTGGTAAATCTGACTCATGTCGGTTATTTGCTCTTCACTTTGAGCCGGGCCTTCTTCTTGTTCTACAACAGATTTTATTGAATTACGATATATTAAATCATACGAAAAGATACAAAATTACTTCCAGAATTCGCTGTAACTGGCAAAAGCGCCTGTCTAATAGTGGTCTCCCAACTTTTGGCCAGGTACGCGCCTATACCGCTATCTGGTGGCGGAAGGTTGACACTGTTGCCATCCTGAAGGTCATACAGAGGGTCTTGACCAACAAAATAGTCCACGTTTGCTGTACGAATCTCGAAACAGTGCATCACATCTAGAGTAGTTGAAATGTCCCGTAAATAACGCGTTTATATTTCTATTTAAATTTATCTAATCTCTAACGAATTTCTTACAAAAAAGTATTGCTCGAAATGTATACATTGTCTCTTAAGCTTAGTTCAGACACGACTAGTACTAATTTAGTCGGGGTTAGTAGTAATTTAGTGGTAAATGGACTTTTGATTAATTATTTAATTAGGTAACTATGTTGCTTCGGTCTTCTGTGACCTTACCAAGGCCTTTGATTGTGTTGATCACAACATACTTTTACAGACAATTTCATATTATGGAGTAAATAATTTGAGTTCGAAATTATTGGCTGATTATCTTGTAAACCGATCTCAACAAACATTAGCCAACGGTACGCTCTCTGATGTGAGTGTTGTAAAATATGGGGTTCCGCAAGGCTCAGTATTAGGACCTTTATTGTTTTTAATTTACATTAATGATTTACCCGTGGCTACACTTCAGAATAATATGATTTTGTTTGTCGATGACACTACTATCTTATGTGCTCGGAAATCCCCTGAAGAAATTCAAACTAATTTTGAATCCATTTTGCTAAATGTTGGTGACTGGTTTCAGGGAAACCGATTATGCCTGAATGACACTAAAACAGAAAGAGTTATTTTTTCTCTTAAAACAAAATATAAAGTAGATTTCTGTAGTGTCCGATTTCTGGGAATAAAATTTGACACAAAACTGAGTTTTGAAAGTCACGTAGACGGGTCACTCAGCTCATGCTGACAGACTGTTTGGACTGCAAAGAAAAGCACTGAGAATTTTGTCAAATTTAAGTTATCAAGCAGATACAAAAAACGCCTACAAAAGACTGGGAATACTGACACTTCCATGTTGCTATATCCTCCAGTGTGTTTTATTTGTGAAGGATAACCTAGAACTATATACTACGCATGATGAACAACACAATTATGCAACCAGAAACAGAATGAATATAAAGCCTGTTCATTTGCGCCTCGGAAGATCTTGGAACTCCAGCCTTCATTATGCTCCTGCATGCTTTAATAAATTATCTCAAAATGTCAGAAATTTACCAAGACATCAATTTAAAACGACAATTAAAAGCTACCTTCTTGATATGGCTTATTTTAGTGTTACTGATTTTTTAGAAAGCAGTGAAGGGTTATAGCGTGGTTATAGGTCAAAACATTTACATTGTGTATTTATTGTTTTTTTGTGTACTTTAAATTACTGTTTGATAATTATTGTGCTTATTTATTAATTTTGCATTTTACAAAATATGACTTTGTGTAAGGATACTTGTATCTATTAACATGCAATAAATGATTTGATTTGATTTGATTTGAAAGAGTTAGAAATAGAATATGTATTTATTGTTCTTCTACTCTTGTGAATATGTTGATCTGATAGAATTATCTATGCAAATTAGTGGTCTGCTGGATTCACATCCGATTCTATTTTACAGTCAAGTAGAGTTCCCCACAACGTGCAGCTACTCAACTAGTGAACTGCCACGCTGGAATGAAGATATGGAATGAAATACGAGGCATCATGGAACGTAAAAGTGAACTAACTATGCTAAGCCCCATATGCCAATTTGGAAAGTCATGAATTCCTGGATTTACGGAAAAAGAAAGGCAAAAATAAAAAATATCAGATAAACATATTCACAAGAATTGATGAAAATGAAGAAAAAAAAAATAATTTCTTTCAATGCGTTTTTAACAAAATTGATCTTTTGACTTTTTCTTGTACATCAAACAGTTTTCGAGAATAAAATCATCCACATTGCAACTCAATCAACATGAATATCAAGGTGGGCCTTGAGTTGATTTTTTTTCGAATCCCGTTCGATGTACAAGAAAAAATCAAGAGATCAATCTTGTAATAAGGATGGATAATCAAGAAAAAAATATATTTTCTTGAAAAATGCAGTGGGGTACCATTTATTTTAATCAAATAATCCAAGGGTGTGTGCGTACGGACGCCACTACACTGGTTCAAATAGAAAAACAACAGTTGATGAAAAAAAAATGCTATTATACAAACAGAAGGTAGCTTGTACACCAGATACCAAAATGAAGGAAATATCTAAAGTATATACTTTCGACATATTGGAAGAAATTTGATTTTTTTTTAATCTTTAACACACAATAGATATTAGTATTTTAATAAAGCACGCTTTTAGATGTTTCAAAAAACTTTTAATAAGAGTAACTTTAACTCTACATATATGTTTCGGCTTGTTAGGCCTTTTTCAAGAGTTTTTTAAGAACTAATCGTCTAACTACACTGTAACTATACATATATTTGCTATGGGGGTGGGTTCAGAGAGTTTACAATAGGGGTAATAAAAATGTGTTTAGAAATCCTTGTTGGTCGTTAACATTATTTTCGTTTTTAACAGATTTTAGTATTTCTAACTGTTCAATGTAATTTAAGCGTCTACCTTTTGTTTCTCTGTGTAGTAACTTAATTGAGTTTTCATTAATTTTGTGATTATTTACTATACAATGAGTTGCAAGACCAGAACTATGCTGGAGATTATTAATAGACTTTACATGTTCTTTAATCCTTATATCTAAATTTCTACCTGTTTGGCCTATGTACACGGCATCACAATCATTGCAATCCACCCTATATACACCCGACTTATTTTTGACATTAGTTTTGTCTTTATTATTTAATAAAATTTGACCTAAATTTCTTTTATTTACGTTAATAATTTTACATCCTATTTTATTGAGATTATTTGATATTTTGTTAGTTAAATTAGGAATGTAGTTTAAAAGTCGATAATTGTTATTGTCTTTAGAATTAGCGGAATAAAAATTTTTCATTAATATTTTCTTTTGTTTTTTCTTTAGCATATTATCAATAAGGAAACACTTATATCCATTGTTGATGGCGATTTGTTTAATAATATTTAACTCTTTTTTAAAATTCTCTGGGCTCAGTGGAAACATTACTAATCTATGAATTAAACTATGAAAGGGTGACATTTTGATTTGCCAAGATTGGTGTGATTGACTATGTATTACAGTGTCTGTGGTAGTGGGTTTTCTGTAAATATCAAATTGTAATCTATTAGACTGTTTTATAATTGTAACATCAAGAAAATTGATGGTATTAATACCTTTTTCAATAGTAAATTGTATTCTCGGGTTAATTGAATTTAATAATGTTAAAAAACTGTTTAAATTTCTCTCGGTGCCTGACCAAATCCAAAAAATGTCATCTACATATCTTGTCCAATTGGGAACCCATCGGTAACCCATCTTTCTGTTTAAATATTTCATTGTTATACTGAAAATAGTTTTGTTCTAAACAAGTTTCAATTATTGTTATTAAATCTGATTTTACTATTATATTAAGATTAGATTTATCAATTAGTTCATAAATAATAGAGGACAATTCATGGGTTGGGATAGAAGTGAACAGGCTTTTGACATCGAAAGAAACGAGTGTTGCATTATGTGGAACTTCAATATTTTTCAAATTATCTAGCAACTCAAAAGAATTCTTTATAGCAAATTTTGATTGAAAATTGATCATGGAAGGAAGTGTTTTAGCTAGTATTTGACATAATTTATAAGAGGGAGCATTTATGTACGAGACGACTGGTCTAACTGGATTATTGTCTTTATGTAATTTTAGTAAACCATAGAGTAATGGGGGTGAAGGATTCATTATTTTGGCATAGTATTCATTGTTATTAGGTAATATAGATTTGTTATTTTTTAAAATAGAAAGAATTTGTTTTTGAAACATTCCTAATTATCTAAGAAAATATCAAATAATCTCAATAAAATAGGATTTAAAACTATTAACGTAAATAAAAGAAATTTAGGTCAAATTTTATTAAATAATAAAGACAAAACTAATGTCAAAAATAAGTCGGGTGTATATAGGGTGGATTGCAATGATTGTGATGCCGTGTACATAGGCCAAACAGGTAGAAATTTAGATATAAGGATTAAAGAACATGTAAAGTCTATTATTAATCTCCAGCATGGTTCTGGTCATGCAACTCATTGTACAGTAAATAATCACAAAATTAATGAAAACTCAATTAAGTTACTACACACAGAAACAAAAGGTAGACGCTTAAATTACATTGAACAGTTAGAAATACTAAAATCTGTTAAAAACGAAAATAATGTTAACGACCAACAAGGATTTCTAAACACATTTTTTATTACCCCTATTGTAAACTCTCTGAACCCACCCCCATAGCAAATATATATATAGTTACAGTGTAGTTAGACGATTAGTTCTTAAAAAACTCTTGAAAAAGGCCTAACAAGCCGAAACATATATGTAGAGTTAAAGTTACTCTTATTAAAAGTTTTTTGAAATATCTAAAAGCGTGCTTTATTAAAATACTAATATTTCAACGATGTTTCACAAGGAACCAACCACAGCTTCAGTACAATTTACACAATAGATCTCTAAGGTCGCGGTGAATAACCCTAAACATTCTTCATTTAATTTTTAACACTCTGTACACGTCAACTCTTTGCTGTACGCGTCGGTCGGTCGAAATCTTAAATCATATTCATTCTTCAACTCTTTCAGTACTAGACGAGACTGCTACTGCAGTAAAAAGTTCCGCTCGGTCGCCAGTTCGTGCTATGGAGAGTTTGTATTGACTAACAGTGCCATTGACTCCACTGCGGCCGCGAGGGCCTATTGTGGCTTTTTTTTGAAATTTTGACAGTTTAATAACTTTGTTACTTGCAATTTATTTTAAAAGTGGTAAAGCGAAAATGTTTTTGTCCAAATCTACCTTACTACCCTGTGAACTACTTATTCAAGGGACACTCTTTATAGACACAACATTGTCCCAGTTGTCCGTCAAAAAATTGACATGCTACACTATCTTTACTAACCTCCTTGTTTAATTCTTGCAGTATCAATGGTTAAAATCTCTGACAAAGGTATTTCCTTATAGTATTTTGTGCTGGTGTCACTTTGGAATAGAACAATCGATTTGGTATCCAATCTCCAGTAATGTCTCCTAACCTAACAAGCAAAATAACGTAATTCCGTCAATATAATTTTTTTTAAATTCCGATCGACATGCTTAAAATATCGATATACAGTACACATTCCTATAATTTTGCAATTTCACAGTTCTATATTCGATAATCAATACTCACACTTCTATCTTTGTTCGTGAAATGTACCAGCCAACCTTCCTTGATTATTTTAGAACCCCGTCGTTTTGTGTGCTTGACAGACTGGACTATTCGTTGTAGGGGTATGTTGGCACTTGGAGAGGAAGATGAACTGCACCTAAAATCCATATTGAAAACAAATATATTTCTCCAAAAAATCCTATATGGGTTTTTCGCCAATGCAAGAAAATAACTACAAAATAAAATAGTTATTTTATGTAAACACTTCTGCGTTAATCCCAAACGGGAACTACTTGTCAGAAGTTCAAACAAATTTGCCTAACAAACATAAAAATGCTTAACATTTCGGAAAGTTTATCTCTTTCCGTCGTCGGAAGCAAAAAAATACAAAGAATAAAGAAAAGAAAACTATTTAAAAATATTTAAATTCAACTATTCGAGAACACTTTAGTTTTTTTTTTAAACAGATACGTCTACAAAAACCGTTGACATTCTGTTAAAATGACATTATATCAAGTTAAACATGAGTTAAACTTCAAAATGAACAATTACTACCTGATAACAATTACTTAATTGCTGTCCTCCATTCGCGAATTTCAAGTTCCAGAGCTTTACGCTCTGGGCTACTCAGAACGGTTCTGAAAGGAGCTGTGCGCGATAGCTTGGTGCGTCCATACGGCGCGGAACAGTTCTGAACTTTATGACTCAATTGAATGGAGTGACAGTATCGCGTTCTTGAATAGTTCAGAGCTGCACAACTGCGTGAATGGAGGACACTAAATGAATGGAGTGAGAGTATCGCGTTCTTGAACAATTCAGAGCTGCACAACTGCGTGAATGGGGGACAGTAAATAAGGTAAAAGCCCCAAACTTTCTGTATGATTATTTTTAATTTTTACGTCTGTTATGTTTATATATGTTATGTTCTTTAAAATCAAAAAAGCGATTGCCATACATTACTATAGTAAACGCCACGAATGCTTGGGAGTGATTCATCGGTCGCTACCATGTGAACTAATCTGTTCAAGGTCACATAAAACTTAATTCCAGTGCCGTGGTCTTTCAAGTCATATAATAATCAATATATAATCTGTTGTAATTTGTTGTTTTAACTGTCAAAGTCTTGGCAAAACATATATTTGGTTATAAATATAAAATGGAATGCCCCATTGGTCGCACTGCAAGCAAACCAATGGACTAACGCACAAAAACGAATCAATCAAAGAAACGCGATATAGTATCGTCTTTGTCAATCACGCTAACATTTTAGAATAAGTAGGAGGAGCGCAGGCAGATGATTAGACCGGGCCCTTAAAAACCTACGTCTGCGGTAAAAATTTACGTTTTTAATGTAAAAATGATAGCGCGCGTGTCGATTCTAACTTCATCAAGCGATGAATCACTCCCAAACATTCGTGGCGTTTACTCTAACATTTACAGATGCATGAGCAATACATTTATTTTTATTAGATTGTATTAAAAAAGCCTCTTTTAGAGGCTATCGCTTTTTTCATTATAATTTTGGCGTTATTAAAATTTATTCTGTGCCCTGTATCCCATGAATGCTGACAAATCTTAGATTTGTGAAAATCTCCATTTCTTAAATAATCTTTGTTCTTTAATTCGAACATTTAAGGGTCTAGATGTTTCACCAATGTAAAACTTATCGTATTCATTAATTAAATGACAAGTAGTTTCCGTTTGGGATTAAAGCTTGATTTTCATGCATCCGTTATCCGACAATATATAATAACCTTTTCTAACCAATCGAAGTCTTTAAATTCAACCAATAAAATTAATATCGTATCATCGTATTGTCGGACAACGGATGCATGAAAATTAAGCTTAACGCAGGAGTGTTTACATAAAATAACTATTTTATTTTGTAGATTTTCTTGCAGTAGCGAAAAAACCATATAGGATTTTTTGGAGAGATGAATCCGCCACATGTAGACATTTTTTAACAAATATATTATTCAAAAGTTTTTAAAACTTAGAACTCACGTTGAATGAGAATACTCGTTGTCATCGTCATGCACAGGAATGACTTCTGTAAATTTGCTGTCCCCATTCTCCTGACTGTAAGAAATGTTCTTTTCTTGTTCCACTTCATCTTCAGTAGCTAAATTTGCGGTACCTTCACTACCCGAGCTTTCTGCATACTCAAAGTGTACTATGAACCAATATTTTTCAACCAGTTAGATTCAGTATTTTAGAGAATTAAGAAAATATAGAGGCGTTCATTACCTGCAGAGTCTCTCGGTAGCTCCCCTGTACAATCTTTAGGTACTTTCTCCAGGCATTTCTTGTGCACGTTATAGTTGCAATCTTTGCATTGAAGACCTTGTTTGAACAGGCCTTTTAACAGTTTTTTGCAGTATTGGCACACAGTAGGTCTGGTATAGGAGTGAATGACAAAAGTATGTGGTATACGCACTGTGCATGACCTACCACCAAGTGATGGTGATCTGTTGTGAGTCTGTTGGGAGTTCTATAAGAAAAAATATTCATATACTTAGATTTTATTGATTCTCGGTCAATGAATTAGATCTTTAAGATTTTTATTTTATACCAAAGAGTTAGAGGATTAAATAAGGTAAAATAAAAACAATAATAATAATAATTCAAATTATATTCAAACAAAAATAAAATACAAAAAAATATATATCAAAACCTTCACCCACTACATAAAAAATCTTATAAAACGAATAGAATGTTAATATCACAAGATAAAAGAGTATAATTATTTTCATTCCTAGTAAAATTACTGACGATTGACCACTCTATAATAAATTATAAACTATCAGAAGTTTACAACAGTTTTTGCCACTTTTATGTTAATGAAATTGATGACAATTGTAGTATTCTTTCATTCTGATTGCAATCGGAGGAAGTGAGGTGATTTTAATGAAAGTGACTTTTTAGTTCACTTCAGGTTTATTCACTTGTTTAATGATTAAAAGCGTTCTTTATTTTTTTGTTTACACCCACTGCACTGTTGAGATTAAGGTTATATTGATTTACTGATATAGGTTACCTATTGTTCTGTATAGAATTTATTTAAATATTAATATGACTAAAATATTTTTGGCAGTTTTTCTGATAAATTCATGAGAAAAAAGAATAAAAAAATGGTTTAACATTGACAAAATAATTTTTGAGATTAGAAAACCCAACTGAAAATGGAAGTGAGTAATGGTGGTTTAACCCTAACACTAACATTAGCCCTACTCCCAACAATATGAATCAACGTTAACGAACGCAAGCGTTCATACTTCCAACGCATCGATCTTAACTTTAGCTTTAGTCCTAACAGGTCATAAGAAATATGGGATAATTTATATTCTTAAGGCTAATGCTAATTCAAAACTGAATCGCGCATGCTCAATTACTAGACCGATAAGAGACTAGACACTAGCATTAGCTGTTCGTTCGTACGGCTGTCGTTTGCGCTCCCGTTCGACATGGCTAATTCTCAGAGTAATGGCTAATCGATCTTCGGAATTTTGGAGTTGCGCTATTGCTAGGAGGACTTGGCTAACAGAAGAACTTATGTGAAATATACAGGGACCGGTTATCTAGTTGTTTCTGACTCGACTTCAATTCCAACACATTACAGGTATAGGCGACAATAGGGCTGTATCGCAGTATCGGGTATGGGCCGATATTGACTATTTTCCGATACTCGCCGATACCTAGTACTTCAGATACCAAAGTATCTGTCAGATACTTTTTTCTTGTTAGAGGAACTATTAACAGGACTAGACAATCGCTTCAGTTTCATTGAAAAAAATGATCTCTACTTAATGGTCACAGCCTTAGATCCGCGATATAAAGCTGGTTTATTCACTGGTGAAAACGAAAATGAGCAAACCGTACTTCAGAAAATAATAAATGTATTAAAAGATAATGCACCGCTAGCTTTACATGCTTTACAATCACAACAGATGTGCTGATTCTGATACGGATACAAATACAAATACGAACTTTGATGAAGCCCCAGGAACCCAATTCACTTATTCCCAATTTTAATCATCTAAGCCTTTTGCAGGTATATAGAAAGTTTTAAAACTAAAACAGTGCGTATTAAATATGCTTTACTTTCTATTAGGCTACTAAACAACTTTTATAAAAAAGCCAGTGGAGTCCAAACTATGATCTGGAAAAAGAAATTTAACTATATTTACATGAACCTAGTTGGTTCTTAAAAAAAAACTTGAAACTTGTTCGTCTTCAAAAAAGACTTGAAACTGACCCATTAGATTATTGGAAACAGGAAACCAGATTTCCAAAACAAAACAAACTTGCTGCTCTCTATTTGTCAATACCAGCTGGATCTGTCTTCTCTGAACAAACTTTTTCCGAAGCAGGGCATATTGTGAAACATACAAGAACTTCACTAACATCAGAAAATGTCCAGAGATTAATATTTTTAAAGAAAAAATTTTACCCCTTAGGTTGAGATAAACTTTTTTTTGAAGTTGTTAGCTGTTATAGGTAAATCTTATGTAACGAGTTTTGATTTTTAGTAAAAGTTAAGTAAAAAAAAACTTTTATCTGAATTTCAGATACAGTATCGGTATCGGATTTTAGGTATCGAAAGTATCGGCACAGAATATCTAGCTACGCAACAGAAGCCTCGTTAAATGTATAAAATTGTAGGTAGCAAAAGGAGACAGGCTTTTAAAGCCTGTCTCCAAATCAGATATTTTGATGCGGTAGTTTCGCTACTACATAATAGAGGGCAATAAATTTAAAAGAAAACAGTTTTCTACAAACAAAATTTAAAAGAATTTTGTGCAGTATTGCCATTGTGTAATTCATATCGTAATACTTCCTGATAAAGCCTACCTTCAAATTTGCCACATCATTTAAACATATTAAAATAGATCAGAGCTGTGTTTTTCAATTTGCCATGTTAGTTGGAATTAAATCTTATGAGCTAAATTACTATCACTTCCTGACGTTTGATTGTATAATTGAATCCTGAATTTTCATTGTAATTCGGCGACAATATAATAAGTATTGTTCTACTATTATGATACCACTTCCTGACGTTCGATTGTGTTCATACCAAGTTCATATCGTATAATCAGGAAAAAACGGCGTTAGCGATGGCTATGAAATGAATATCGCTGTCATTTTATATATAAATTTATATGGGAAATGTCATCGATCGTCCTTTTCCAGCCAACTAGACGCCGATTTTTTCGGTATCATACGGTATTTGATATATACTATTTTTCATGATATTACAATCACAGAATCGTAGCTAGATATTCTGTGATTACAATATTATGGTACCATGAGGCATATCAAGTGATACTATAATATAGTACCATATTACGATACATGGCGTTCGATTGGGTTCGATTCTTAAACTTGATATACTATATCTTCAGTGACATTGTAATATCATGGTACCATGGAGCATATAAAGTGGTACCTTCTATAGTACCATATTTGATGACATAGCAATATTAGGTACATGGCGGCAATAGGGCTTAATCTTGGTATACTACGTATCTTCGGTTACATTGTAATATGATGGTACTATGATGCATATAAAGTGGTACCTTAATATAGTACCATATTTCAATACAATTTCCTGGCGTTCGATTGATCTCTTATTTGATATATACTTGCGTATTTTTGATGACATTGCATTATTATGGTACCATAAAGCATATCAACTGGTACCATAATATAGTACCATATTACGTACATGGCGTTCGATTGGGCTTAAACTTGGGATACTACGTATTTTCGGTAACATTGTAATATGATGGTACTATGATGTATATAAAGTGGTACCTTAATATAGTACCATATTACGATACCATTTCCTGGCGTTCGATTGGGCTTAAATTTGGTATACTACGAATCTTCGGTTACATTGTAATGTGATTGTACTATGATGTATATAAAGTGGTACCGTAATATAGTACCATATTACGATACCATTTCATGGCGTTCGATTGTTTTTAAATTTGGTATACTACGGATCTTCGGTGACATTGCAATATTATGGTACCTTAAAGCATATCAAGTGGTACCATAATATAGTACACTATTATGATATCATTTCCTGGTGTTTGATTGGGCCCAAATTTGGTATACTTGCGTTTCTTTATAAAGATTTGTTTAATTAATAATTTTAATTTATTTTACGAATTTTAATTTATTGTTCGATGACGTGACAGCAACTTTTATGCCGAACTAATATATTATTAATTGTACCTGTGTCACTTTTTAAAATCTACCTAGGTCTATATAAATAACGTGGCAAACGGAAGAAATTTGTTATTATAGTATTTTTTAATCAGTTAACATTTTTGTACTGCACATTAATAAATTATTTCCTTTATTATTAAACTTATATTTCATTACTAACGTTCCAGCATTAATAAATATCACTATCAATCGCCCTGTATATTATTAATTTTAAAGGTAATTAAAGGTATTTTCTTAGTTAACATTATAAGGTAGTGTATATTAAAAATGTATATGTTTTGTAATAATATACTTAAAACTATTTTAATAGCCAAAGGAATAATTAATATAAGTGTATCTGACCAGAAAAGAAGAATAGAAAGAAACACACACTGGCATTATACACAGTAAAAAGAAAGGGATGCCAATTCAAGTCTTTTTGAATCTGGCAACTGTGCATATTTAGCCGAGCTACAAGGCAGTCGACGAGCCGTCGATCCAAAACCGAAAGTTCAAAATTTCTAATTATATTCTGATTATGACATTGTCGCGCCATCTAGTATCCTATTTGTGCAATTTTAGCTCTTTCATTTCGAGTATTTTTCTGTTGCGTAGCTAGATATTCTGTGGTATCGGTATCGGTATCTGAAAGGTAGTATCGGCACAGCCCTAGGCGACAATCCATATAGTAGTTAATTTATATATATATGGTATGAACGGTTTTTCTTAAGTTCTTAAGGAATTTCTTAGGGTTAATGTTAAAGATAAGGTTAGGACTAATACATGAAGTATAAACCCACCATTAATTGATCGAAAGAAAAATTTGTGTTCGAGGGGAAAGGGGAAACCAAAAAATAATTAGTTGAATTAGAAAGGGGGTGGTACTAGGCAGGTAAAGCACGGCCAAAGACGTAGAAGTAAACGTATCGTTTGACATGTACGCTTGCGCAGTGAGAAATTCACCTGCGTTTATGGATACGTGATACGCATCTTTGCGTGCCTTTACATACGTAAAACGCAAACGTATCGAGGCGAAGGAGTTTCGATTTCACCCGGTTGATGCCGAAGGTACAAATTACAAATTCACAAACAACTCGTTTCAATAACTGGCTAGTTCTTATTCTTACAGTGCCATACTCTATATAGAGCGACGGCTACCGCTCGCATGTACTTGTGATGTGTGTCATCAGTGTTTCACAAGTACGTTAGTTAAGTTATTTCATAAATTTCTGGGTCTGTTTAACAAAAAATCAACCTATTTTAGTACAATAAATCAATAATATGAAAATATTAAGCATCTTGATAAACTCATTTTGCAATTGATTTAATTAAATGTTAGTTCTTAGCCAAAATCCATATTTGGATTCTAAAAGGTGGATTCTAATAAATAATGATAAAAGTGTGTCAGTTTTCCAATATTTGTTTTAATAAGAACATTTTAAGTTTTAAGAACTACTTTCTATAATATCATAATTCCCATTAACAACTTTCTTCATCTTTCGATATTACTTTTGAACATTTATATCAATTTTTTTGTACTTTTGTATCAAGTTTTAGTTTTAAAATTAAAAAAAATTGTTTCCCAAAACAATTTACAAATACAAATGAACCATTTGCGTTCCGTACCTCAAAATACTTGCTTTAACTCCACTTGTTTACACGACAACGCAACGACTGACGTTACATAGGTTTGTGCATTATCATTATGTGTCAAGCTTTGAAGGTGTCAAGAGATAAGTATACATTGTGCCATGCTTTAACTGTCTACTGATTGTAAACGAAAGAATACCACGTAAAGTGAATAAATTGGTGTAAGTGAAAATTTTCAGTTGTTTCAGAATCAAAAAATACTACTAATATCAATCATAGATAGAGCTACAGATCAGCGACTTTCTATTACCCGCCAATTTGCATAAAACTAGCACCCTCCATGTCTGGAAGTCAAATTGAAGTTCTTCATTTACCCCTTCCCTTCTATTCACCTATTTTAATTATTCTTTACCATATATGACCATAATATATGGTCAGTGTTAATACTGAGGAAAAATTGTATATTAGCCAGAAAAAAATTCTTTAGGGGCAAATTAAAGTAATTTAAAAAAAAGAATTGTTCTCTAAATGCCCAAATATTTCTCAACAATAACACAGTTTGCGTAAACAGTATGATTGACATATTTGATGAAAATAATTTAAAACTATTTATATTAATACAAAATCACAGTCAATTTTACTAGGTATGACTGATGCTAACTTATTTTACTAAAAAGAAACATAAAAAATATCAGTGCAAAAAATTATATAAAAAGAGCTTACTGACAGAACATATTCTTATTTAATCATCTAACTTAACACCCTTAAAAAAGTTTGATAGCCTTACCAATCCGCTATCTTCAGTTTGTGTTGAGTTTGCAGAAGCCAAAGAAGAATTACTGCCTCCAGATGGACTTCTAGGTACAAGCAAATTGGCTGATTTCCTACGTTCTGTTTTGTTGCTATCATAAAGAGAATATGAACAGTTATTTGGCACCTTAACTACACACCTTTTGTGATAGTTTTGACCGCATCCTACAAAATACACAAATATAATTATTCTAGAAAAATAATTTGTTTTAAACTGCATACCATCACATTTCAAGCCCTGTCTCACAAGTCCAAACAGCATTTCTCCACAAAAGTCACAAAAGGTTGGTGTTTTATAACTATGTACATTTAAGGCATGTGGTCGGACTATAATTGTATCAGAAGAAAGTTGTGTTGTGGGAACTAAAAATACTTTTCTGCAAATTTTCTGACAATACTAAAAATGCCTCTAAATTCTATACCTTTTGCAGTCAAAACTATCTCTATTAATGTCTCATCAACTATATCTGAAGCTGAATTTATCAAGTGTAGAATATTATTTGAATTGTACTCATGTTTAAAAAGCAAAAGTCTGTCTTGAAGCTTGTTGATTCCATGGTCCGGAATCTAAAAACGTTACACACTTGGATTATATTTTATTCCTGATACAACATATTAAAAACCAACCTTGGTGTTAAGAAAATCACAGGCCAGATCTTTAATTGTCTTAAGATTTAAGGTAGACTGTGGCACTGTAATTGCATCACGAATAAATCCAAACTGGAACATAAAGGTCACTTCTTGATCATCCATTGTCGATGTACCGATGTATATCAGATTCTATCTAAAAAAACTCATTCATATGGTAATAAATAATCTACATTTAATAATATAATATTTACTTGCTCATTAGATAATAAATGTAATTATAAATAAAATATAATAAAGACCACATAAAAACCAAAAAAAAAATAATTTTTATTAAATATATAGCAGCAATATAACAAGGAATAAAAATCAGCACAATTTCAATCTTTTATATCACTTCTTTGGCACTAAAAGTCCCGTTACACAAAATCATACCGCTCTTATTTCAGATTATAGCCTCTCCCTTACTCACCTCATGCGTATTTATTTTTCAAGAACAATCCTTAAATTATTAAATTTCTAGAGACAGATGGAAAGATTTAATTTTAGGAAAAAGAAGAAAAACATTTAAAACATTAAATGAAGATGAGAAGATATATAACTAACATACTGACGTCTGACGTTTGACAACAGCGTTTGACAAACGTTTGACAACTGCAAACTGCAGAGCATCTGCAGAGACAACCATGGTATAAAGAAAACAAGGTATGATCGATAGCGGTTCCAATCTCGTTAAGTTTGCGCATACCACCTGTGACGTCATACGCCATCCACAAAAATAAGAAGTGTCTATCGGGAGACTTTCATCATTGATACTACGCATGCGCAGGTAGCAGATGTTGCCATATTTCTATAAATACTATTTATATTGGTGCTTGTCAGATATAACACCCTCCGAATTTTATACTTTTTTTTATATCACTCGAAAGCATACATCGAAATAAGTATTCCAAGTCAAAAAAAAGTGTGGATGATCCATAATTTAATGAAAAAATAAACATCTAATTATTGCTACAACAGGCTACTTTCTATGCGAAAACTCCTCCAAATTTTGTCGGCGTTGACAGATTCATTCATTTCTTCTTGAAAGGTTCATTAAAAAAACACGTGCTGGTCGGAAGAAAACTCGCGTTAAGAACAGATTATAAATTATTTTAAAATCAAGAAAAGGCGATCGTTTGAGGAATTGCTCCTACACATAGCTGATATTTTGCCTACGAGATTTGACTATTTATAACTACAAAGTTGCACGAAAGAGTTTTGATTGCGTTGGTTTCAACTTCTTTGGGGGTTAATCTGTTGTTTTTTTTTATATTTTAATACGAATCTGACTGTTTTCAATGTCTTGATTAACAAAGTTATAATCTGTTCTTATCGTGACAGCGCTACTGTATAAGGATTTGTTCGTCCGGCGACCGGCACGTAAAATCAAGTGAAAGCAATCAGATTCGTATTAAAATAAAAAACAAAACAAAAGATTAACACCCTCACGAAAAGGTTGAAACCAACGCAATCAAAAACTCTTTCGGTTTCAACCTTTTCTATCATAACGTACCGTATGATCGAAAAAACGGCGTCAGCTAGACTGGCTATAAATGAACATCGCTGTCATTTTATATGTAAAATTATATGGGGAATGTCATCGATCGTCATTTCCAAGCCAAATGGACGCCGTTTTTTTTTCGATCATACGGTATTATGTATCATACAAACAAGAAATAACTTTGGCAACAATGCTTACACAGCTTACATCCTTTAAAGCCCCGTTCTCAGAACTGCGACTGTCGCCAGCGACACGACAAAAGAACCAATCAGATTTGTACAAAATTCAAACAGCTGTCAATTTTAAATTTAGTACAGCTCCCATTGGTCGTTTGAAGTGTCAATCAGTGTCTGAGAACTGCGTCGTGTCGACAGCGACACTGATTGACACTTCAAACGACCAATGGGAGCTGTACTAAATTTAAAATTGACAGCTGTTTGAATTTTGTACAAATCTGATTGGTTCTTTTGTCTTGTCGCTGGCGACAGTCGCAGTTCTGAGAACGGGGCTTTAACAACAAATGGTGACAGACGGCTCCGGCGGCAAGTTCGAATCGAAAGAGTAAATCACAGGAGTAAATCGATCAGGCAAATATTACAAAAGATATCAGCAACTCTGTTTTTGATTTATGACTTATTAATGATTCTCAATGATTAAGTCTGACGTTTATATTAATAAAAAATGCATATAATCGTCATATTTTACAATAATTACACGCTTATACAACTTCACCATAACCTAAAAATGCACTTTTAATTTATTTATTTTTCAATAAATTGTGGTTCATCCGCAATTTTTTTTTGCTTAAAATTCTTATTTAAGTGTATGCTTTCGACTGATATATAAATAAATGCCAAATTCGGAGGGTGTTATATCTGACAAGCACCGTTAAATACATTATAAATGTTTAGAAGGCTGCTTTGTAGGTATCCTTTCCTACTGATAAAGGTCTTTTAGCGCATCTTCAAAAAAAGCATGGAGTTATGATATCATTCTACTCGATTTTCTCCTATTTCAGGTAAATGTAGCAACAGTATCTTTGGTACAGTAACAATACAAATTTTATGATTAATTTTATATTTTAAGATTTTTAGATTTATATTGACGAATATCAAAATTCCAATGATGTGAATTATGTGTAAAATAGAGGAAAGATACTTAATGGAGATTGTGAAGTAAGGTATTATCATTGTGATCGGATCATAATATTATCATTCATATACATTAAAAATATAAATTCATAATCATTTATTGATATTCTTATTTGATGTTTTTAAATCTATGAATATTATATCTGAATTATCATGTCATTACATCCAAGCGGTTTAATTTTTTATTTATTTTCAGGCAACATATTCATTTTATTATTTCTGACTTATGTATTAAATTACTCTAAATTTTGGTAAAATCTAGTAAAGAGGTAACATTAAATAACTACTTACGCAATCCACTTTAATTTATACAGAGTCTTATAGCAGATATCAATGCGACAAAGGTAATAATATTTGAACATTCAACAGTTATCTGGTGTGGTTATAATTTTTGTATCAATTCTAAAACAGATCAAGTTACTGTTGGTTACTGTATTAGAAAAATGTAGGCACATATTTTTTTATGAAAAAATAGTGATAGAGTTAATAAGCTTTGTTTTATCTTTTACTCTTTAGGAGGTACATGGTCTATGTTGTAGAATACATTACAATATTTAATATTCTGTATTTTCATTGTTTTATTTTATGTAATTTATTGTAAGTTGTCAAAATACCGCCAAGAAAATCTTGACAATATGGCGAAGTTTCTAATTTGAATGTATTAAATTTACCCTTGTTTATATATTAATAGTTAGTCAATGAGCCTGTATAAGTCGATGCTGCCAACTGGTGGCAGAAATTAAAACGTAAAAAGGGGCGGAGACTATTGAATTTGGCAAAGAAGTAGGGACTAGGAATTCTTCGAATTTAATTCTCGGTAAAGAATAAAAATATCTTATCTGATTCGAACTGTGATTCGAACCGAATTTATACCTCAAAGCGTTATTTACATTTTTTATTTTTGGACATGGATTTATATTTATTTTGATTTTCATGGCCACTTGTTGGATACTAAAGTATTATATTAGGTATATAAATATTTTATTTTTGATGGATAATTAAAGATTTTGATTTAGATGGATAATTAAAGAATATAATATGAAACTATACCAAAGAATATTATAGTTTTGATTTAGTTTGAGTATTAAGATATTCTTTGACTATACCTACCTACGTCTGTAACTTTGTAAAAAGTGTGGCGGATTTAACATAATGTTTTTTTTTTAAATGTAACATCCTATTTTATTTTAGATTCTGCGTAAAATTCTATTACTTTTTTTACGTATATTTCTTGTATAATGGTGTAACCTAAAACTAGTTTTATAATATTTCAATTTGTTGATGAAGAAAAAATATTAGATATTTATATGTAGATATTTAAGGTAGAGCTACAGGGTGTTCAATATATATTTTTTGAATTCGACTACGTATTTAAAATAGAAAAATATCTGCAGATTCTTTCAATGACGCAGCCTATACTGAGTGTTTTTTCAAAAGCGGTTCACCTCTATAACTTTTTTATTTTTTCAGATAAAAAAATTAAATTCGGGGTTTACCAAATTCGGAATGTTAGTAGGTATATAACATAAATCGAGATTGATTCGTATTCCGTTAGTTTCGGGGTCACTTCCTGTTTCACCGGCATATATTTTTATTTCAGCATTTAAAAATGTTTGCCTTTAAAAACGATTCTGATTATTTTTGTCCTTTTAGTGTGATGTAATAATGGTAGCAATTAGCTGATAAAGATATGGCTCAGCAGCAAACAAGCTAATAAATATTTTTATTTCAGCATTTAAAAATGCCATTTTAAAAGGTTCTGGTTATTTATGTCCTTTTAGTGTGATTCAGAGGAGTGAGGACACTCATAAGTCAGGAATGGCCGAATGTTATCGACGCCTATGATCCTTATGATAGGCAGTCATTTTCACGTCGTGCCTGCACCCCGTGTCCGCTGATGTTTGCGAGTAGCAGAGTAGTAGGCTTTGGAAACAGTTGAATGTAAGAGATTGTTGATTTCGGCCCAGAGAAGACATTGTTTGTCAAGCTAGTTAGAATTACATTTTAAATATCAATTTCTGTTAAATATATTAATCTCCCGATTACATGCTCCTCTTTAACATTGCTATAATTTTTAAGCTTTAAAAAACTACATAAATATAAGCATAGAAGTATGATTTATCATTATATTAATATAAAAGTAGAGTAATTAGTGTTGATGTATACAATTCTTATAGCTGTAAACGCAGCATTATATGTATAATAGGTGTGAACCCTCCTTTAGTTACCTGTCACAAGAGTATGTATTGTTAATAGATAATAGCGCGAATGAAAGTTCTCATGTTCACATTTTATTTTTCTACAATTCAATAATAAACTTTATCTAAATTGAATCGTGTTTGATATCCTGAATCTCGAGATCCATGCCCGCAGTTCTTCAATTAGTAGAGTTTTCACACATTGTAAAAAAAAAGAAAGATTATACAGTGTAGATCAAAAAGTAACTTTAAATATGCTCTTTTTATTCTCACGAAGGTAATAACAGGTAACATACCTACCATAGAGTATAAAATATCTACCATAAATAAAGTATAAAATAGTCATATCAAATTTTGAATTTTTACTAGAATCGACACTTGATTTAAGTTGCTCTTTGATCTAGTCTGTATACTATTTTTTTGGGGGGTTTTCTGGACGTGTGTGCAAAACTACACTACAAATACCAAATCTTATAAAAAAATTGTTCATCTTAAAAATTATTTATTAGAATGATCGATAAATTTATGAAAAAAAGATCTCAAATATGTTTTGATATATATTTTTCAAAACCTTGGTTAAACTTTATTATTCGATATTTTAAAACAATAGTGGTAATAAAATCATATAGGCATTGGTAAACACGCTTGGATAACAATCATAACACGATCATAACTTATTTAAATATACAGTAGAACGCATACATTTAGTGTTTTTTTCTTAAATGTGTGCATTCAAACTTTGTTTTGTTTATGACAAATATAACATTGCCAAACTAAAATACAAAAAATATCAAAGTTTAGTAACTATAAACATTAAGATTCGACAGGTCTGACGAAATGATATATGTAATGTTGATAATAATAATGAAATACATGCCGTCTCAAATGTGGCTCATCCCTATAACTTTTTTATTTTTTTAGAAAAAAAAATAGAGATTTGGTATGCTAGTATATGACATAAATTAGGAGTGAGTCAAGGTTATTTAAGGTTGTCTCGTAACTATGGAGGGCTTTAACAACCAATTTTTACAACCATACTCGTAACTCGATCCGCCATTATCGAAAACGTCATCTACTACGTCATAGGAATGACACCGCTCGATATTAATTGTGTACTTTATTATTTATAGTGTATGGCCTCAATAGTTTTCAGTTGTTTGATGTGTGTTTTCTTTATTGTATTGTCCATTATCTCTCTTTGTCGGTTGCATTTTATTTTCTATTCCTTTTATTCTATGATTTTTTACGTTCTATCTACGTCAGAGGGATGATTTCCCGCTTCGCTCCTATTGGTCCAAAAGTTACGAGACAACCTTACCTTTTAATAACCTTGGGTTATAACACTTCCTGTTTCACCGGAAATGACTACAACTTGATTTTTAAATGGCACCCATCCCATCCCATATGTGAACTTTTGACATTTTCGAGTATGGCTTATTTGAAATTGTAACATGCGGTTCATAACGACAATTTGACTCAAAATACCAAGTGTGTGGTACCAAATTATTCATAAAAAGATGCCTTTTTCAAATATGCTAACGAGTCACCCTCGTTTCATTTGAAAAAATTGAATTATAATTAAAAATACGATTTGGGCATCTTTTAACCGGCCAGGACAAGACACGAAAAACATTAGACGATCAAATTTATTTTTCCAAGGCTCCTTGATTAAAAATTAGTGTTTTTAGCACAGTCATAGCGCTCTAGATTGAAATTTAAAATACAATTTTGTTTTAAGTGAAAATGTCAAAAGTTCACATATGATATGTCAATCTATTCGAGTGTCATTTTTTATAGAATAAAGTAAAAAAATACCGAGGGTGCCATTTAAAAATCAAAAGTTGTAGTCATTTCCGGTGAAACAGGAAGTGACTGAAATATAAATAATATACTAACATACCAAATCTCGTTTTTTATCTGAAAAAATAAAAAAGTTATAGGGGATGAGCCATTTTTGAGACGCACCCGGTATATGGTTCTATTACCATGAATGTAAATACAATGTCATGGTCATGTCACAATGTCATGGTCATGTCACAATGTCATGGTGCCTTTTCTATATACCTTTTAATATACCACTGTGCAATGTCTTGAATCGCCGGGGAGAAAGTTTCACGATTAAAATCGACGATTATAATCGCGATCAAATTTGAACGAAGTTCGTGGGAGCTTTAGTAAATACTGTTTAAACACGGGAGTTAGTTGAGGTTCAGGTCAGTTGAGGTTCAGGTCAGTTGGGAGCGGCAGTTGAGATCATGTTGAGTAGTGATGGGATCACTCGAGTGAAAAATACTCGGTCACCCGAGTATTCATATCCTCGGCATGTCTCGAGTATTTTTGTCGATCTTCGAGGATTACTCGGCACGCAACTAACATCGGGTGTGGTGTACCGTCCTCGCTGTTCGCGAGAATACAGGCGATTTACGATTTATGTTGAAACCTTTTTTGTCAATCTTCAAGGATTACTCGGCAGGCAACTTATATCGGGTGTGGCGTACAGTCCTCGCTGCTCGCGAGGATACAGGCGATTTACGGTCTATGCTGAAACCTTTTATACAGAGGATAGAGGATGATAACCGTTTAATCATTTGCTTGCATATCGCTCGCAATAATAATCGGTTTTCCTGCATTTTTGAACAGAGATACATTGCTTATTTTTGATTCGTTTTGTTTAGATCTTTAGATGGGATATATTAATTTTAATATTTATTTAAATTATAAAGATTTTTTCTCCATACTTTTTATTTAAAGATTTATAGTTTTTTAACTATTGATATATTAATAAATTATTTTTTTTGTGTAATAATTCGGAATTGAAACATTTGAAAATTAATAATACGTCAGTTTGTGACTTTCAAAATTCCCTTTGCCAAAACTACAGTTGTTTATTTGGGTTAAGGCTTTTGAGGAATTTGCCAACCAGAATAATGAGAATATTCCTGTATATTTTATTTAATTTTTTTTTCGAACAGCGACAGCTGACTCGTTGTAAGCCTTAAGTAAAATTTCATTAGTTAATATTTTTCTATTATGAGGGTCCACAAGAGAAAGAGGTTGAAAATCCGAAACAATCATCATTAATATTTTTTTTTCGATTATTAGTTAAGCTGTGCCCAAGCAATAGACTTTTTAAAACTGGAGATATGGCCCACAAAAACTTAAAATATGCACAATAACACAATACTACCACAGTTTATTAGTTACTACAGTTTATTTTCAGTGAAAATACGCTATTAAAAAGTAAAATAAAATGTATTTTTTATCTCAATGACCGACCGCCGACAAATAAATAACGAGCCCTTTTAAAAAAGCCGCCCGTATTTCGTAGATTTACTTGATTTCATTTGGCCTGAAAGTGTGCTGAAAGGTTGCCAGATTAGTCTCAAAGTCGGAGTTAAAGAAACAAGATCAGCACAATTTAAAGCAAAACCTATGGAAATTTTATTTCCCACATGAAATTATACACAAAAATATTAAAAATTATTAAAAAAGTGTTAAAAATAATTATTTATTTTTATTACAATATTATTCAAGTCATTCAAGTACATGGCACCAGTGTGTTAAAAACAGCAAGACAAATCACTCACACCCAGCGGCGGGTATTTATTCAGGTTTCGCTCGAGATATTATACAGAGAAAATTTTATGACCGAGGATTCCTCGGATAATCATCCGATTATTGGAATCCTCGAGGATAAATACTCGAGGATTGAAATTATCCGATTTTTCCCAACACTAATGTTGAGGTTCAATATTTTTGCATTTATAAACTGTCAGTTTTGGTTGTAAAAAGTCGTGAACTGCCGACTTAAATATTTACCATCGCCGAACTCCGTTGAACGTAAAACAAACTGCCAACTGTTCAGCGAACTGACTTTATAAATGCGCGCGTTCATTTCATAGTACTGAACATTTTGAACCTCAACTAAACTTCCAACTGCCGAGTTTACAAATCCAGCAAGCCATGTATTTGAGCTTGATAAATAAGTTAAATTGTTAAATTCTTTATTTATTATAACTTTATTATTTTTATTAACTTGTTAAATTCTTTAAAAATTTAAATGGATTCTAATACAGGATCTTATATCTTATCCCCTACATATGCTTCACTCCTGACTTTAATAATTATTCAAATTGACAACCTAATACAAATATCTCACAAACGGACGTCGTCCATACTCCACACCTGAATTTCTTATCGCCTTTTACAGTTTTCCAGTTTCCTTAGAAATATATTACATTTAATTTACTTAGTTTCTGACAAACTTTATTTCATAGATAAATGAAACAAGGTTAGATTAGAAAGTGCGCATAAGGATAATGTAAATACTATCTGGCGCTGTTCTTGTAGCGGACGCGAAGCTTATCGCTAACAGTGTATATAACTGTCAAAATAATCTAGTAAAAAATAAAAAAGACAACAGGAAATTTCATTTACTTCGTCATATTTCCGAATATAACAAAGATAGGTTCAATTATTAAACAGATTACCATTAGGCTCACTAACAGGCAACATTGCCTCAATTTAAAGCCACTCTGTATCTCTTACCTTTGCTAGATCCCAATCCCAATAGTGAGTATCGAATTTGAAACACCCAGTATATCTAATTACCTTTTAAATAATTATTAGACAAGCCTGTAATTTCAAAAAAACGACTAAAGTGTTCCAGTGGAATGTTACATTTATCAGCCATAGCAAAACCTTCAGTAACCCCGTAAGAAAAATTCCTCTCAGTATCTTCATATTTAAGTAGGCCATGCAACCAGTACCAACACTTTTATCATCACCTAGTAACTCACTCTTCTACAAACCAGATTTAATTTATATATTAATATAAAAAGATATATTAAACCAGTATGTATGCATAGATAAATGAAACAAGTTTAGATTGGAAAGTGCCCATAAGGACAATGTAAACACTATTTGGCGCTATTCTTGCAACGGTCGCGACCCAAAACTTTTGAAAATTTTGGAGCGGTTCGGCTTTTTCCGGAATTATATCGCCAAATATTGTTTATTCAAATTTATTATTATTTTCGTTTAATTTTATAAATAAAATACAGTGTGTTGCATACAAGAAACTTTATTTTATATAAGGACGCGTATATGAAATACCTATGAAACATTGGAAACCGACGTTATGCCACGATCCACGATGGTTTTTGCAGTTCACAGTTCACAGCACAGCTTTTTAAGTTTTGAATGCCACTTTTTCACAATTATTACCGGTTGGAGTAAATAAAACTTGTTACTAACAAGAATTAAACTCACAAGATAGCAATAATTACTTTGAAAATGGATGCTATAAACACTTTTCGGAATTTCTTCAATGAGAGCGGTTTAGATTTTGAAAGATTATTATGATTTTTGAAGATTCTGACTTTGACAAGAGAAAATTATTTCTGTTTTTGTTTGCCGTTGTTCTTAGCGACCGCTATAGCAGCGCCAGATCGCGTATAACGGTCGCGACCTAAAATTTTTACGGGCTTTCCAATCTAAACTTGTTGCATTTATCTATGTATGTATGTTTACATTTACTATAGCTTTAAAACAAGACTGACACTCGTTATACAAATCTTTTGATCCTGCAATCATAGCTACCGTTTCTCCTTGCATCTGTAACAAAAATAGTAAAAATACTTGAGTTATTATAATAATATTAGCAGCAAAAAATATTAACCATAGCTTCCAAATAAGTGCCCCCTCCCTTTGTAACAAGCCCTGAAATCTCTCTCGATCTCTCTGGGGCCATAATGGTCATCTCAACATATCCTTTGTCTTTTAAATGTTCTATACCCATTTGTTCAATCATTAATTTTGGTTGATTTGGATCAGATAGTAAACTGAAAATTATATCTGAATTTCTAACCTAAAATGTGAGAGATCTATAAAATGAAATATTATGATTTTTCATATTTCACTTACCACTTCTAAAGGTGAATTAAATATTTCTAAATATGACGGATTTTCTTTAGAATATTCTTTTAATTCTTCAAAAAGTGCGAAACTATGGGTCCAAATATTCAAAGAATGACCAGAGTTTATGAGGTTCTAAAAGAATTAAAAATAACAGCTATTTCATCAGAGATTTCATTAATAAATAGCCCCCCATACACCAGCGGATTTAGTTGGCGGACTTCGCCTGTCATGTGCCAAAACTCTGGTGTACCAATCAGATCTTTGCCCAATTAAATATTCTCATTTAGGACAAAAGTCGAAGTTTTATAGCCGTTTTTATATAAATAAATGTTTATCGAAATAAAAACTGCCTTATTTTCGCTAAGAAATAAATAGCGTTACAAGTCAGCGGACCTTATACTTCCATCATTTTTATAGATCATTCTAATCCAACAGATAAAGTCTGTGGATTTTGCCTGCGACAGGCTTGGTCCGGCACACAAATACAAAGTTTTTATCTGCAGATTTGGCCAGTACCATATCAAATCAGTCAACTTAATGTTGGTGTATGGGGGGCTAATATATGAATAGATACTTCTATAATGTCTGGAGCATAAATATTTGCTGCACAAATTCCAAATTTCTTTCTTAGATTCTTGCTTGATTTTTTCTTTGAATCTATGTCATTTCCTTTTAAAAGCAATGGTTTCTTGATCGTTCGAACTGAGACACTACCAGTATACTTCTTCAGATTATTTTCAGTAACTCTCTTTTCCTTAGGAACATACTCAGTAATCTTGATCTCATAATTAGGATTTTCCATACTCTCTAAAGATTTAAAATAAAACCTTACAAATGTAGATATGTATAGTAAAGTAATTCATACTTATAATATCAACCAATTCTTTAAAAGCCCTTTTATAGTCAGGTTTTTTATATGTTTTATACACATCCTTGTAACTGTCATATGGCTGAATATTTTTCGTTTTAATCCAAGCATAACTGTGTGTTCCATAAAAATATATCCATTCGCTATTTTTACGTTTAGTAGGGGCATCTTTATTTGGAGACATTACCATTGCTGGCCAAGGGGGATACCCAGACATTTTTGCAAATACAAAATCATTGACGTTAAATATATTTTTTTTTGGTTTCATTTTCATCAAATTTTGATAATTATTACAGGAACTAAACTGTAATAACGAACTTCTAGTTTCAAAATATCATATAAATATTCTAAAAGATTGTGGATTGTAGTTAGAACCTAAGGTTAGAACAGAGATAACATCATAGAATAACGAATAACCCTTGAATAACTAAATAAACTGAATAACATGTTGTCTCTGGGTTAGAACCTGGTTAGAACCACGGTTAGAGTTAGAACCGTTAGAACAGAGTTGTTCTTCTCTGGTTGGAGACACAAGTTGGAGACAGAGATAACCACAGGAGATAACTACGAGATACGAGATGCCCAAGTCAATGTGTATAACTGGTTCTCTAATAACTATATATAAAAATCCAATGACGGACCCGTTGAATGTGGAGAGAGCTGGCGCTGCGATCGGCGCTGAGCGATTCAAAAAGCGCGCCTTTATTTGAATTTAAATATTTTTATAATACATATTATAATTACCAAATAAAAGACTAATATAAGAATTAAATTATTTATTAAGAGATAAAAAAATAATATTTTCAAATATGTTACAATAAAATGATAATTTTAAATAAACATAATAATAAATAAATGGTACAAGGAAATAAAACAAACATTTGAGATACAAATGTTGCAGTAAAAAAACTGAATATCCGCCTTTTTTCATATGAAAAAACAATGTCATCAGGGAAAAAGCTTCACGTGCCATATGCTTAACGCACGTTAGGGTCCACGTGGAAACACACAAACATTCAGCACGGCGAAACAACGTGGCCGCATCCGAAACTCCTTCCAAAGAAAACTTTTCAATACATTGAAAATTTTTTATCCTGTGTCCATCCTTGAAAAAAAGTATTATTAGATGTGAATGAATTAGGATTTCTATATGGTGTCTGGGGTATTATGCGATTAAACTGTTTCACAAAATTATTTAGTTTTTATGATCAGATTTACCGTACTTTCTTTCAATTTCCTTTAAAATCGATCGGACACCTTAAAAATTAAAAAGAACATTCTTTCTAAGGTTTCCATGTTTAGGTTTTTAAGGTGCTTATTAGGTGCATACCTAATTATAGTAAAATAAAATATATTCCAAGTTTTAAAAAAATTGAAAATTAAAAAGGTTACAAAATATGTATTTCTTCTTTATGTATGTATATGCTAGAAGAGCTAGAAGAATGTCAGACTGTACTAATAAAAATTACACATAATTAATTGCAGTATGCCATATATGAATTCTAGTATAAGACCATATGAGGAATATATTTTTTTATTTGAAAGTGGAAGACAAAGACATATTATGAAATAAAATATCTTCTTTAATTAATATTATATTTAATGTTGAAATTTTGTACAAAAAATCAACATTAAATAGTCAGACAATGAAACTTGAAACTAATAGATGTTTTATTTCAGCATATTAATTTGTTGTTTATTGAAATTACTGGGATATATTACCCCATGTCATTTTCCTTAGGAGTGCATATTCCTTTTCAATACTATCCTACAATTGCTTCTTGGTCCTGTTGCTCTAAAAACTCAAGAGCGTATATTTGCTTGATGACATATGTTTATGTTAACCATATGTTAACCCTGATGGTGCTGCAATTTGTTTTAGAACATAGTTCACCTAAAAAATATAATACTGGTTATGAAGTTTAGATTGGAAAGTCCGTAAAAATTTCGGGTCGCAAAATTATTTTGGGTCGCGACCGTTATACGCGATCTGGCGCTGCCATAGCGGTCGCTAAGAACAACGGCAAACAAAAACAGAAATAATTTTCTCTTGTCAAAGTCAGAATCTTCAAAAATCATAATAATCTTTCAAAATCTAAACCGCTCTCAATAGTATAAGTTTGGTATAAGTCTTTTTTCTATGCCGCTCTCATCAGCTCTCATTAAAGAAATTGTTTGAAAGTGTTTATAGCGTCCATTTTCAAAGTATTTATTGCTATCTTGTGAGTTTAATTCAAGTTTTATTTACTCCAACCGGTGATAATTGTGAAAATGTGGCATTAAAAACTTAAAACGCTGTGCTGTGAACTGTGAACTGCAAAAACCATCGTGGATCGTGGCATAACGTCGGTTTCCCATGTTTCATAGGCATTTCATACATGCGTCCTTATATAAAATAAAGTTTCTTGTATTCAACACACTGTATTTTATTTATAAAATTAAACGAAAGTAATAATAAATTTGAATAAACAATATTTGGCGATATAATTCCGGAAAAAGCCGAACCGCTCCGAAATTTTCAAAAGTTTTGGGTCGCGACCGTTGCAAGAATAGCGCCAAATAGTGTTTACATTGTCCTTATGGGCACTTTCCAATCTAAACTTGTTTCATTTATCTATGTGGTTATGTCATTTTTTTATGTAATTGTGATATGTTTTGATCTGTAATGTGAGCTGTTTTCATGACAACTTAAAAATTTATTCCTGTTGGTTTAATATATAAACAAACATAAACATTGAAAATTTGAAATTTTTAGTTTGATAGTTGTTAATGTTGACTAAATATCATATTAAAAGAAAATAACCTAATAAATCTATTAAGAATACTGATATTTTATATGCTACACCAAGGATATTTTTATACTTAAATACTTCTATTAGTACTTCTTGAAAAAATATTATAATCTACGTCCTACATCCAATCTAAGTCCAATGAAAAATATGGAATTTTGGATTGTAGCATTATTTCAGAGAATCATAGTGCGTTGGAACAGATGGTTGTATGAACATCAGCATTTTCTACAATACTAAATATAATAGATTTATTTGGTATTTTAGTATTTGAGACATAGACTTAAAATAAAATATACACTGAGCATCTCATTCATAAATAGCTGGAACATGCGGTCAGACAATGTCTTGTTATTGTTATGTTATTGTTTTGGGTTATAACGAGTGCGACACGAGCGATAGATAGTTTGTCTCTGTCGTAACGGTCGTTCCCTGACGACTCTGCCGAGAACCACAACACTGTCTTTCGTTTCTCAAGTACACCTGAACTCACCGTATCATAGCCGGGTAATTTTTTTATTTTAATGAAGCTATAATTAAATTAAAAATATATCGTATTTAAACGTTTTTATATTTTATTAAGATTTAGGACAGGTTTTTTAAATAAAAGTTTAGAAAAAACGTCTTAGAGTCCAAAAGGATAAAAATAATAAAATACACGTTAGAAAAGAAATTTTATAATCGAAATTACGTAATTTTTTGAAATTAATAATAAATTATTAATTTTAGTCAAACATTTACAACCCTAATATTAATCAAAATAGGATCTATTCCACAGATATAATAGAATCGGCGACAGGGAGAGAAAAAATATGATTGTTGTAACTTTTTTCTGGTTAAGTGATGTCTTATTATGTAAATTAGAGAAAACATAAATCTGTTCCATTAAAGCAAGGAAGGTGATAGGAAGTGGATAAAATGAAAACTACATTTATTTAACTCGGTACTGTCTTTGTTATACCGGGTGCGTCCCAAAGTGGCTCATCCCCATAATTTTTCTATATTTTCAAATAAAAAAACAAGATTTAGTATGTTAGTATATGACATAAATTAGGATTAATTGACGCATTCAATTGTTTTGGTCACTTCCTGTTTCACCGGAAATGACTATAACTTTTTAATTTTTAAACGGCACCCTCGGTATATTTCTACTTTATTCGATAGAAAATGACACTCTGCAGAATAACATATCATATGTCAACTTTTGGACATTTTCGCATATGGTTTAATTATGTAAGTGTAACACGCGGTTCATAACGACAATTTGACTCGAAATACCAAGTGTGTGGTATCAATATATTCATAAAAAAATGCATTTTCCAAATATGCTAATGAGTCACCCTTTGTACCATTTGAAAAATTCGACATATGTATGATTAAAAATACGATTTGTACATCTTTTAACCGGCCTAGACAAGACACGAAACCTATTAGACGATCAAAACTATTTTTCCAAGGCTCCTTGATTAAAACTTAGTGTTTTTAACAACACCATGGCACCCTGGATTGAAATTTAAAATACGATTTGTTTTTAAGCGACAATGTCAAAAGTTGACATATGATATGTCATTCTATTGACAGTGTCATTTTTTATCGAATAAAGTAGCAATATACCGAGGGTGTCTTTAAAAATCAAAAGATGTAATCATTTCAGTGAAACAGGAAGAGACGAAAAACAATTGAATACGTCAATAAATCCTAATTTCTGTCATATACCTACTAACATACAAATCTGTTTTTTTTTATCTGAAAAAAAAAAGTTATAGGGGTGAGCCACTTTTGAAACGACCCGGTATATTAAAAAATATTGTTTCATAATATCATTTTAAAAATCTTGTATGTTATTTTAGACTCTGAAGATAATTTTAGAATAAACCGGAATATATTTGTAATAAAAACATTATTAATTATTAACAGTGTTATAATTATGATTTTGTTACAATGTAAGTAAGTAAATAATGTAATGTAAGAGAAAAAAATCAGATTTTACATTTTACTAAAATATTATCTAAATAAGCGCTTTTCTACAACAACGCCACTGACTACTAATGGGTAAATTGAGAGTTGCCTACCGGTCGAAAGTCGTTTCAACACTTAAATGGATTATTTAAGTCAAATTTCTTGCAAATTTGGCACTGGCGAACCATATTTTATAGTTCTTGAACAGAAAAAATAAATAAAATAAACACTTAAGGACTACAAGCTAAGAAAATGCGTTAATACAGCCGGGGACATAGCGGCAACAAAGCTTTACCGCACACGTGCGACGAGTACTACAAGGTAATAAATGAATGAATAGGTTCCCTCGCCTCTACTCGGTGTTGTCATATTGTAAAGAACTTATCCTTTTTAAACAGTATCCGACTTATAATTTAGTAGTATAAGGACTATTTAATACATCTATGGAATATTAAAACCTACTTTATTAAAATGTAGTATTAATATCTCAATATATATGTGTATAACAAGAAAAAAAAATATTGATAATATCCTTGTTTATATATTAATAGTTAGTCAATGAGCCTGTATAAGTCGATGCTGCCAACTGGTGGCAGAAATTAAAACGTAAAAAGGGGCGGAGACTATTGAATATGGCAAAGAAGTAGGGACTAGGAATTCTTCGAATTTAATTCTCGATAAAGAATAAAAATATCTTATCTGATTCGAACCGAATTTATACCTCAACCTCAAAGCGTTATTTACATTTTTTATTTTTGGACATGGATTATATTTATTTTGATTTTCATGGCCACTTGTTGGATACTAAAGTATTATATTAGGTATATAAATATTTTATTT